CCACTGCTACGCTGATGACACCCAATTAATTCTGTCCTTTCCCCGCTCAGAGACCCAGGTCGTCGCACGCATCTCTGCTTGTCTAGCTGACATCTCTCAGTGGATGTCTGCTCACCACCTCAAGCTCAACCTTGACAAGACTGAACTGCTTTTCCTTCCGGGAAAATATTGTCCCACTCTTGACCTAACAATCAACATCGGCACCTCTATTGTTTCCCCGACTCAGACTGCAAGGAATCTGGGTGTGATCCTAGCTAACAACCTGTCCTTCACTGCAAACATAGCTGCTACAACCCGCTGCTGCAGATACACGCTTTACAACATCAGGAGGATACGTCCCCAGCTGACCCAGAAAGCGACGCAGGTTCTGGTCCAGGCTCTCGTCATCTCACGCCTAGACTACTGCAACTCCCTCCTGGCTGGTCTACCTGCATGTGCCATCCGACCTCTGCAGCTCATCCAGAATGCAGCGGCTCGTCTGGTCTTCAACCTTCCTAAATTCTCCCACACCACTCCGCTCCTCCGCTCCCTCCACTGGCTTCCGGTAACTGCTAGAATCCACTTCAAGATAATGGTACTTGCGTACCATGCTGCGAATGGATCTGGCCCTTCCTACATCCAGGACATGGTTAAATCGTACACCACAGCACGTGCACTCCGCTCTGCATCAACCAAACGGCTCGCTGCACCCTCGCTGCGAAGGGGACCCAAGTTCCCATCAGCAAAAACACGTGGGTTTGCTATCCTGGCTCCAAAATGGTGGAATGAGCTCCCCATTGATATCAGGACAGCAGATAGCTTACACACCTTCCGGCGCAGACTGAAAACTCATCTCTTTCGACTCCACTTCGAGCAATAGAACTATTAACAGAGCACTTATATACTAATAAAGGACTGGCTTACCTAAAGCCAGTTGAGTAGCACTTGAAATGTTTTTGCTCTATGAAACCTGATGTACTTATATGATTCTGTTTTCTTCAAGTTTGTATTTTGTTGGTCGAACGCACTTATTGTAAGTCGCTTTGGATAAAAGCGTCAGCTAAATGCAATGTAATGTAATGTCAGCCAGGGACATCTCTGTTTAATACTGATTCTATAGACGTATTCTAATGATGTAGGGGTTGACTGTTAACAGGTGTACTTTACTATCTTTAAAGACTTATTTGTATTAGCGTATTAGGACTTTTTGTCATCATCATGCCTAATCCATTTTTGTAATGTGAACCTTTTTTTGTTTATTTTATTTCTGTTTGATTACAGTGTGTTGCATTTACTGTATCCATCCATGATTATTTGTTTTATTCTGGGTCGCTGTGTGTTATTAAAGGTGCTATAGATATTAAAATACTTGTATACTGTAGCTTAAACACACATTTATCTGCAGGTCCAGAACAGAAGCACAAACACACATACATTATTGTTACAGCACAGTGAAAACCCAATGTAAACTCTAATAGTTGTAAAAGGCATGAAAATACAGTTGCAGTGGTCACACATTTCAGTCCACACATGTCTGTCCAATTATGAGCTGTTTTACTGCATGGGTTTAACCAAAAATATTCTGATATCTCTCCTAATCTGGACACTTAAAATCTGCTAAAAAATGTTCCCTTTCTGAAATAAAACTCAAGCTAAATGAATGGAGGTAATTTTACTTAAAACACACACACACACACACACACACACACACACACACACACTCACACGCAAACATTCCTCATCAATCATCTCTTTAAATCAAACATTTTTCAGCTTCAACTTCATTCTTTCAAAGCTCATCCTGTTTCATCCGGACCCTCACTTCTCATGGAGGATGTTGCCATGGAGACAAAACCATACCCTCCCCTCTGTCCCCGGGCTGCACCAGTATGACCAATGATTTCCTCTGAGTCAGTCACACACACCTGCACTACACCTCATTCTGACAGGACATGCCTCACATGGGAAGTCGCCGGTCTCACACATACTCAGAGCAATCTTGTGGCGTGTGTGTGTGTGCGTGTGTGTTTGTGTGTGTGTGTGTGTGTGTGTGTGTGTGTGTGTGTGTGTGTGTGTGTGTGTGTGTGTGTGTGTGTGTGTGTTTACTTCCAGATTGTCTGATGGGTAATGGAAGTCCTGTGAGATTACACATCTGTGTGAAGGACACCTGCAGCAAACATAATTCTCACCAGCCCTTCTGAGACGGTGCAGGTGTGAATCACTGTCTCTCTCCTATTCGCCATCACTCTCTTCTCTTCTCCTCTACGACCCCACCTCTCCAGAAATAGCCCCCTGCATGAGTCAGGATCCCAGCCCACCCTAAACTCCCTCATCCATACCCTTTTAGCGGGAGGTGAAACTATTTAGAGGTGCATTAAAGGAGGTTGAAAAATGGTAACGGAGAACATAAAGAAGAGTGACTGCAATGAAAAGAACATCAGTACGATGCAGAAGCATGAGTTATTCCATTTGGGCAGAGTGAAAGTGCAGAATTATAAAAAAGGAAAAGGGGGGGTGAAATAATGTAATGGGGAGAGATATGTAAGTGTGAATCCTTAACAAATGTGTCACTCCTTAAGGAATTTATATATTGCAGTTAACCGTGTACACACACACACACACACACACACACACACACACACACACACACACACACACACACACACACACACACACACACACACACACACACACACACACACACATACTGTTCCTGTCCACTGGTAGTTTTCTCTTTTTCGAAAGCACAACAATCTCCTCTACCATTGCAGCGAGCAGGAGAAGTCCTTTTGTACAAATGTTTTCATTTTGTCATCTTCTCTCCTTTTTCACCTCTATGGATTTAACAGGGACACAGAATAGAAGAACTATTTAAAATACAAAAGTGATTCCCCCATAAACACCAACACGTACCCAACATGAAAATACATAAAATAAGATTAGAAATTGACCGAAGGTTAATACAATTGATCAAGAAATTCAGAAGATTAATCAATAATTAAAATGATTAATCAATCACTGTTTCCAAGTTTCCAAGAATTAACTCTCAGCTTTAAGATATTCCATTTTTGTGGCTTGTAAAATCATAGTTATTCCCAAAAAAATCACTATCCTCTTGTATATGATGTGTTATACAAGGTGTTTGACAGAAAGCCATGCATATCACCACTGTACCATCCTTGAAAAACACAATTTCTTGAGCTTTGACAATTTTAAATGCTTTACTTATAAATGTTTACATGGACTGGCCCCCCCTCTCTTAAGGGAACTCATCCACAAAAAACACACTGGACGCTGCACTAGGTCAGAAACCAGAGGAGGCTGTGAATTCCACCATAGACGGACCACTTTTGGACAAAATGTCCTTTCCATTAAAGGCAGCTCATTGTGGAATAGCCTCCCAACTGAGATATGGGATTGTCAAAGGTCAACTCAAAGAATGGTTGAGAAACAAACATCCGTGCAATCACCGCTAAATGCACTTTAATACAGGGGTATCCTCTTGCACTTTATGTAGCTCTTCTCTTGCACTTTATATGTTATTGCTGCTATATTGTATTACCATGTCATAAATACTTGTGTATGCTGCTCTTGCTCTTTTGCACTTTTTGCATATCATGTATTTTGTTTTTGCTATGTTTGCAAAATGTAATTTTCTTAAATGTTTTATGTGAGGGACTGCGGATGGAAATGAGCTCAAAGCTAAATCTGGCACTGTTACGCTTGACACATTTTAATGTTTGAAGTGTTCATTACTGTGCATTGTCCCTGCCAAATAAACAATTAAATAAATAAATAAAATGTAGGGCACATGCATCTAGAAAAGTGCATTTATTCATTTATAAAAAGCGTATGTGCACACTGAGATAACTTTAATTGTCGATGTATAATGTTATATTTATAGATTGCTAGGTTTTACAATGTGGATCCTGTATGTACTCGACTATTTGGCTGGTGGTTATCTCCACCTGCAGATTCACTTAAACAATGGCTGCATGCTCCAAATTAAGCTCTCTAACAGCCATGGTCATGTGTCTTTATCTCTCTCACCATATAGGACACTCACACTCACACACACACACACACACACACACACACACACACACACACACACACACACACACACACACACACACACACACACACACACACACACACACACACACACACACACACACACACACACACACACACACACTCACACACACACACACACACACACACACACACACACACACACACACACACTCACACACACACACACACACACACACACACACACACACACACACACACACACACACACACACACACACAGAGGGGACAATCCACTTTTATTAAGGCTTTTTGCTCTATGGCACAGCAGAATTTGTCTTTCCTGAACCTTTTTATATTACCTCGTACCAGGTGTTCAATTCAAAACACACTGCACACGCTTCTTTGCATTTATAACAATAAAACAACTCAATTTACAACAATTAATAACGATCTCTCTCTGTCTCTCCCTTAGTGCAAAAAACATTAATTTTGCTATAATTGGAGAGGTTAGTTTCTTTATTATTGACAAATGCACTATAATTCATATTTCATACAGCTGTATTTTGATCTGTTTTACAGTAATTATTAGTGTGATACGCTCTAGCTCTAGGACATGTTTGTTGATTGTTGTGTTTGTACCTGCCCAGGAACTGCAGATGGAAATTAGCTTTATATTCTAGCATAGTCATCACTTGTCTTTTTGAGATGAATGTATTTCTATGCAAGGTCCTCATTCAATAAAGACATATAATAGTAGCCTACGTTGTACAAGGTGGTACTCTCTCTCTCCTCTCTCTCTCTCTCTCTCTCTCTCTCCTCTCTCTCTCTCTCTCTCTCTCTCTCTCTCTCTCTCTCTCTCTCTCTCTCTCTCTCTCTCTCTCTCTCTCTCTCTCTCTCTCTCTCTCTCTCTCTCTCCACCTTTCCTCTGTAAAGGAGCAGTCCGGCAGTCTCTCTCTCTCTCTCACCGCCCTTTGCCCAACCTCAAGATTTTGAGCCGTGACGTATTTACTAACAGGGACACGCGAGTTTTCACACCGGTGCTCCATCTGCTTGCGAGGGCGAGTATTTGGGGGAGATATACTGCGCCTCGCTCTTGAGACGCTCTCACCGTTTTCTTTCCGTTATCACCCGGACCTGTCAACAAGCATACATGCCGCTCGGTCCACCGCAGGACTCTCCATCGGCTCTCTGACCTGCCGGACTGTGCACACACAAGTCGTGTGGAAGTTTTTTGGACACGTTTTCCAACATAAAAAAGTGAGATTGTGCCAAAAGATGTTGGATCGTTGTAACAAAACTCTTCTACCTTTGTTCTTTGGATGCCTGTCTTGTCTTGTGGGGACATCTGTTGTAAATGCAGACGGTAAGTTAATATTTTATTCCTTTTTAATAGAAAAAGAAAATTATTACATATTGTTTTATACGTGTGACGACAAACCATGACTTCATTACACATTACAATTGTATTCCCACTCATAATAATGAGTTTTTATGGCAATATCCAGGTGGTTTCCAACATAAAAGTTAGATTATGGTGCAGCAGCAGCAGCACTAACCGTTACTTATAATTGGCACATGCCCAAGTTTTATCAGTATTTTCCCTCTCAGCATTAGCAATAATGTCCAAATAGTTAGATGTAAGATGTTAAATATAAAAGCACATTTCTTTGTGATCCTGAAAACCAGCTAATGATGTGACAATGAGGTGATGATTATGCTCCTGTGATGCAGTAAAGTAACCACATCTGTAGCCAATACACATACATAAATCAAACTTTATGAAGCACATTTTCATGTTATGTCTCCAAAATATAGTTTCTATTATGTTGTGAAATGAATTTGGAGCAATCATGTCATGGGATGATATGCTGAAAGCAATTACCAAAGCAATGTCTTGATGAATTGATTATTTACTATAGTGGTATTCAATGCAAATCTGCGTCATTGCACACATAATTAAGCTATATATTTCAATATAATTGTCTAAATCCATATACATGTGTGTTGCTGCCTCAAAGTATCGTTTCACATGAAATAAAACAGACAACCTGCTTTACTTTGAGCAACCTCAACAATGTAAGCCCAACATTGTGCAATATAATAATAACAATTATATTAATAGATAATTCATCATTAGTTCTTTATTGCTTTACAATAAAGCAAATGAGACATAGAATGAACATTAAAAGGGTATAAAATAAAAATGAATGGGGAATAGGATGGAAAATAAAACACACTTGGGAATAATAGTTACATTTAAGATACAAAAATAAAGCAAGATCAAATAAGATGAAATAGAAAACTGAAAATGATGATGAATAATGATTGAATAATAACAATTTGTTTTTTTTATCCAGATTAGCAGCATGCACATACACACAAAAGAACAGAACAACAAAAGCTCTATAGTCTCTTCTACTCTGTTTTAAACCTTTTATATTGGGATAAATATTGAATATATAAGGTTTATCATATTGTATAAGAAGTTTTAGAGGTTTTTCCTCCTGCTTTTCTCTCCTCAGGTCGAGTGTTCGTGTTGGACCTGAGGAACTCCTCTGGCCTGCAGGGCTTCAGAGATGCCGAGGGGGCTTGTGCCGCCCGACATGCCCGCCTGGCCTCAGCAGAGGAGCTGCATCACGCCGTGGAGGAGTGCTTCTTCTCCCCGTGCACCCGTGGGTGGCTCTACGCAGGCACAGTGGGGTAAGAAAATAAGTTTGTGCCTGAGGGACTTCATTGTTTCAAGGGACATGTAGGGAGACTTGAGATTTCTCAAGGTGTCAAAGGTCATATTGCTGTGTGCGCTCTTGTGTGTGTTTGTGCGGCGGTTGAAGGAACAGATGAAAGAGAGAGGAAGCAAAGGCAGCAGCGGCAGTTAAAGAGAGAGTGGGAAGATAGAAGAAGAGAGTGACACATTTCAGGAGGGAAAGAGAAAAAGGGAGAGAGGAAGAGCGGGAGAAAGACTCCTCTGTTCCTTCCTGGTGAGGGAGGGAATTCTGAGCCGGGGTGTCACGTCGACAACTGCCTCCATTTACACCTCTCATCTCCACGGTAACATGACAGCACCCAAAGACAGAAGCAGACAGACAGGCAGTGAGACAGACCGGGAGTAGGAAGACACACTGTTAGTTTATAGTGAGGTGATTGACAGTATGTTTATGCTGTTCTCTTGTGGTGATGAGAGGATTCATGATTGGTCTGTGGGGTTGATTTCAGGTGATTTCAGGTACATGGTGCTGACGTTACCAAGATGGTGGTGGGTTGATTGAAAAACTGCCTTGGATTCTTCGATGTATTGGCGGAGGGCTAACCTACTTCAAGCCCCCAATTGATTGTTAAACACAATTTCTAGGACCACATTTCCAAATAAGGGAGAAAAAACAACATGATCGAAAGGAGAAAGAACAACATGAGTAAAAAGTAAAGTCTCTGTTTCCGAATGGCCATTGTGAGGCTCAAACTGAGGGCGAAGGCCATCTTGGTACCTACCCCATTGTCTAACTCCTGGATAAAACAAAAATGGACATCATTGGTGGAGTTGAGGCGGGCCAAGTGGACACAGAGAGCTAGTGGCTAACATCCTGAGAAGGCACCCACCTGTCATTCAAAGCGACAACGCCCAAATAATGCTTTTACTGAACCCTTAGTATATTAGAACGGTACAAATCACCCAAATATTCATGAATAGGGAAATAAGCTCTTATACTTTGACACCAATACTTGATGACAATTCTGTGTAAAGTCGGCTTTTAACATGGCCGTATATAGAGATTTACTCCCTTTAAGAGCAAGCCTCATGTGGTCATTCAATGATGACCTGCAGTTTTGTGCACTTCCTCAAATACGTCATTGCTTTGTAATGACCCACATAAAAATGTAGCTTAGTCTCACTTATCAATATTTGCAATTGTTAAAATGTAATGTGTCCAGGATTATAATTTCTAAGATTTTGTATTCAAATTAGTTTGGACAGGATACTCATATTTATAGTATCATCCCATGGCTACTCAAAGTGCCTTTTCAAGTGCCTAAAGAAACAGAAAATGGGCTGAATTAGGTATTGCAACCCTATGATTGCAACCTATTGATGGGTCCAAATTGGGTCCAAGAATGACAAATGTCTTGTCGGAGGAAAAGCTGACACATTTATTCTTCCGTTACACTCCGTGCTCTCTTGGTGTTGGCCAGTGGACATCAGCTTTCACACCCTCTTACCATGTTTCACAGTATATCACCCATCTATTGGTGTCTGTCTAAGCCGAGGGTATCCTTTTAACCCAGACCTTCTTCTCTCTCTGTCTTGATCTTGTGACCCACCCCAAATCTCAATTTAATTTTTTGGATGAATTCAAGACCATGGTGGTGCACATATTTGAGCTCATAACATTTCATCAGCTCCTTGGATGTACCCTTTTTATTTTGAAGCTGAATACAGAGTTGAAATGTTTTCACAGAAGAAAAAAATGTCACTTAAAAGATCATCCTTGCATAACCTTTTCCCCTATTCTCTATTCTTAAGTCATCAGAAAATAAAGATCTTTTTTTTCTCACTTGCCTCTTTTGGCTTCCACAAGTAACGCTGTGGTGTTAGTGCCAGTAAACCTGTAGTCCTTGAATTTTTTAAGTCTATTGCATAATACAAAATGCTTCTCAGATGGACTCCCCTAACTTAACGTCTTCCTCTTACCTGTCAATCACAGATCTACTTCCCGGCAACCAAACACAAAATACCAGCCGACTCATCTACACACACATATCTGAGTTTTCCCTTTAAATACATTAAATTACCCTACATTGCATTTGGCTGACACTTTTATCCAAAGCGACCTTTATTGTTAAAGGGGCCCTTTTTTGTGTTTTTTTACTTTCCTGTAGTGTGTTATAGGTCTTTGAGCATGTTAATGTTCAATCAATCAATGTTTATTTATATAGCCCAATATCACAAATGTTACATTTGTCTCAGTGGACTTCACAGTTTGTACAGAATATCAGTATGACAATACGACACCCTCTGTCCTTAGACCCTCACATCGTACAAGGAAAAACTTCCAAAAAAGGAAAAACCCCACAGTTTAAAGGGGAAAATGGGAGAAACCTCAGGGAGAGCAACAGAGGAGGGATCCCTCTCTCAGGACGGACAGACGTGCAATAGATGCCGTGTGTAAATCGAAAAGATAATACATTTACAACTTAGGTAGACCAAATGTTTTTAAAATCTGGAAAGGCTCAAATCCTAACGTTCTCTTCAAAGACGTTATTGAACATCATATCTGAAACCGGAAAATTTGCATAATACGGCCCCTTTATCTATGATAATACACATACAAAAAGAAGCCTGGAGCAAGTTAATGTTAAAACAGTCTGTTTTTTGTCTCTCTCTAAATGTTTTCTTGGCGATTTCTGTCTTGCTGCCCGTTTCTCTCTCAGATTTGTGTCCTTATAAGCTCAAGTTAGCATGGCACAAGCATGCAGTATGACTCACACCACTTCTCACAAACTCACTGCTCTGCCAGTCAAATTCTTTCCAATTACTGACGCTTTGATTAACTTAATTACTGCAAACACCCACCCAAACCCACACAAGTATCCCTTTAATGATGCTTGATTAGTAATATCACCATGCAATATTATATGAAAAGTGTAATAAGTCTAACTTTTAATGATGTTTCGGAACTTTGAATTTACTTTCCACATGACGGTGATATGGGAACTAAATTTGATCCGTCTGGAAAGTAAGAGTCAGTCTTATCTGGTGCTTTTGGATGACAAATAGGCTAATGATGCTATAAACGTTAACGTGGCAACAAAAATAGACTATTTACTCGACATTTTTTTGCCACTACATTTTGTAGGCATTACTCATTTTGTCTGGTGAATGTGTTAAGTCGCTAATGTTGTGATTGTGCTATTTGAATTTGGGTGTAACTGAAGGCTCCTACATGGGAACATCTATTAATGACCATAGTGTGATAATATTGTGCCAGAGGCTACAGCGGCTGATACTGCAGCATGTCCGAGCCATGATGTGTGTTTCTGGACACTGATGTCATTCTGTAATAATATTTGAATAAGCAACAAAGAGCAGCACGTATATCTGTTTGCGCATGTCGTCAGATTACCCATATATAAACCGAAGCTGCGGCTTTACGTGTGATACTGATCCGTGTGCAGAGATCTCACTTAAATGTTATCAGTGGTGTAATGTTATAATAATATATGACATTATACGACTGATAATACTGCACATTTGTCAGTAAGCAGCATGTAACTGTTGTAGCTGCTTAGGGGGAGGCTAGTTTGAACTACTTTTTGCTAAAGGTATTTCATCTAGTGGTTCCCAACCTGTGGGTCAGTGCCATTCAGTGATTAATGAAAGAAAAATAAAACAGTTATGATATATTATGCTGCCTAATACTTAAAATGTATTAAAGAAATCAATAATCTGACACAAAATATTGATTTTAAATGATTTTCTGTTACTTTACCTGGTCCTCCAGAGTCTACCATCAGAATTGTATCTAGCAGTTCTCTGCTATAGGGAAATAACAGACTGGTGTATTCTGTAATTGACCAATCAGATCAGAGTATTGAGCAACGCTGTCTAAAAATGTATTGCTCTTATTTAATGCGATGTTAATCTTAATCTAAAAAATGCTTCCATCCTTAATTAAATGCTTGGCTGTTCGGTTATATGCACCCATATCACATTGGAATTAATGAGTGTTTTTATCTCTATCTATCTAGGATGACGGTGTGTAACGTTGTGGGCAGTGCACTGAAAGCAGTGGATGTGAGAACAGAAAACGCCACCGAGGACTCTGAAAACCTGGACGCCTTCTGTATCAAAGACAGGGGTCAGTAAACACACCATACACACACATCATTTGTATTTGTGTGTGTGTATGTGGATCTTTCCTGAGATATTTACTGAGGTGTGAAAGAGTGTGTGTTCCTCCGTTCCTTCCATCTTCTACTTTCAACACTCTCCATTCTGCCAGTGTGTGTGTGTGTGTGTGTGTTTGCCAGTTCTATGTTTCTACTCAAATCTGTCGTCAAATACCAAACTTTCTGCCTCCTCGTGAATATCTGAGTGTGTGAAGGTATTACTTGATCCATGAATGTACGTAAGGCCAGACATAGCATTTCACACACTGGCCTGGATTTAAGAGGGGGGGGGGGGGCAGTCAGTCGTTAGTTTTGGATCAGACTATTTGTTGGCATTACCTCGAGGTCTCTAGTCCTTCCTCATAAACAGTAGAGCTTGTGGCTGTTGATACACAACACACACACTCTGCTGTGAGGAAAAATGGACAGTACAGATGAAAACTGATTTACAGGCAACATTGTGCTTATATCGTTATAGTTATGATAGGAAGTATAAAGTGATATATTAGCCCAATTCTAAAATGAAAATGTTAAAATGTCCACTTCAGGGCGCTTTAAAGATAATAATAAATAAAATAAAAAATGTAACAGGGCATTATTTTACATTTGGAAAAACACGAAATAGAATAACAGAAATAACAAAAAGAAAATAAACGTTTTGTTTTGTCAAGAACATGTTAATATTTTTCAGATTAACTGTGTTGCCTTTTTATAATTACCATACATAATAAGACCAGAGTCAAGACAATACACAGCCTTTGTCTCTTCCCAGTGGCATTGTTTGTGGTTTTGTTTGTCAAAATTACATCCACATTTACCACAAAGCTCTTGCTTACCGCCACTTGCGTCATTCTAATCTCTTTCTGTTTACAAGTTGGATAGTCATGCTCTAAAACTGGATAATAATTACCATGAGTCATGTTTCATTAACCGTGCTGTTTAATCCTGAATATGGACTTTTTGTGTGTTGATTTGTTTTTGTTGTTGACAGATGTGCCGTGTGGTGACCCTCCATCCTTTCCTAACGCTCATCTCCAGGAGCACTCTGGGTATGAGATGGGAGACGAGCTGCTGTACACATGTTTGCCCGGTCATGTCATGCCCAGTGGACGCAGAGCGTTCAGTCTGCTGTGCGACAGCTGTGGAGAGTGGTACGGATTAGTGGAGATTTGTGTCAAAGGTAAGAAGGTGTTTAAACAGTTTATGTTGCAGGAGCGGGAAATAAATAGAAAGAGGCAGAAAACAGAAAGCCCCCATTTTGTTCGTTTTCTTCAAAGCTTTGAGCTTTGACCGAGACGTACAGGAGAGCACTCTGAGGTCTACCTTCTCACTTCTTGCTTGTTAGCTCCCAGTGTTGTGAGGTGATCGGGCGGTGACTCTGAGCTTTTTTTGGAAAATAGACTCTCAGTTGTGAGTTGGAAATGGCTGCGATGACACCTCAGTGTGACATGCCATCGTGTGTCCCGGTTCATAGGAAGAAGAAGAAGAGGGCAAGAGTTGTCCATGAAAGCAAAAGGCCAGGCTTGTGTCCATAGTTAGCTCACAGCGTCGTTGTCATGTTTGTGCGCTACAGCAGGAGTTCCTAAACAATCCTAAAATAGTGTCACAGTGATCGAATGTTTTCAATACCACCGTGACAGATTGACATAAAATTGCAGGTTTAACAAGATAAGATATTTTTATGAAAAATATAAAAAGGCTAGTATACTAAGAGAGTGACTGTAGTAAACACTTACAATAATACAACTCTTACATTTGTGAAAACAATACTCTGAGACTGCCTCACTTTTAAAAGAAAACTAAATAATGTGTCTTATTTTGGCTGCTGTCCGTCTTGACAAATGCAATCTATTAAAAGAGATTTTTTTTTCAAGGAGTCTTTTATTCTCCTTGAGATTAAACAAATAAACATTATATTTGATGTAGACTCGTCACCTGATCAAGTGTTTCATTGTGTTTCTGCAGATGAGACTGAAAGTCACGTAGACTATGAGGACAAGTTTCCAGATTCCTATGGAGAGGCAGAGCACCATAGCTCAGAGGAGGCTCAGGGTCAGGTGTACGAGGAGGTGCACGGAGCTGAATACCCACAAGGGGAAAGGCGTCAGGTTCAACAAGAGACGAGCTTCAATGTCGAAGTAGAGGAGGAGCATCAAGACCAACATGGAGTGCCTGAAGTGGAAGAGGAGGTCATCGATACAACATTTGTGGTAGTAGGAGGGGAGAAAGCTACAGAAGCACCTGTGTCTCTTCTCTCCCAGAAACACCTCTTCTGGTTCCCCTCTGAGGCCTTCCAGGATGAGGGACGTCCCGCCTCCACCAATCCAGTCACACAGACCACACAGAGAGCTTCAGGAGCCCAATCAGAGGAGAGCAAAGAGCAGGACAGCCAAGAAACACACCACCACCAGCGTCCAGTTGATGTTGACGACCATGGTCACGACGACCATGACGACCTGGACAACCATGATGACGGTGAACAGAGTCACCGGGAGGAAGACGACGGAGATGATCATGTGAAGCATTATATTCCAGCTAAGGTTGATGACCAGGACAGACGGGACCGGCACAAAGATACAGACGATCATGACGACCATTATGACATGGGTGAACACGAAGACGACCGGGATCGTGTTCGTTACGGAGGTCAAGAGTACGACGATACTTACGATGAACATGAAAGCTACGAAGAGCATGAAGATGTGACTGACGATCGAGAAGTCAATGATCGAGAACGTCCTGACGAATCTAAAGAACATCCTGACCCCGATGAAAGTGATGACCGTGAGGAGCCTTATGATCCTGAGGAGGAAGATATTGATCGTAACACTGACCACGATGACCACGATGACCACGATGACCACGATGACCACGATGCCCACAATGACCACGATGACCACGATGACCACGATGACCACGATGACCATGAACCCGACGACCATGAACACGATGTCCACGACCACGATGACCATGAACCCGACGACCATGAACACGATGTCCACGACTACAATGACCATGAACACGATGACCATAACCACGATGACCATGAGAGCCACGAAGATGACAATGACAGTCACCAGCGTGTGATCTTTTCCCAAGAGACGGATATAAAACAGAATGTTACAGCAGAAGAAGAAGCCCCCACAGACGACACCTGGCTGGACGGCTACCCTGTCGTCCTGGAGGAAACAGAGAAAGGGGACTCCACACCAGAAAGGGTTAGACCAGAGGATACAGCGAGGGGGACAGTTGTGAGGACAACTGACAGACCTAATGAGGTGGAAGTTGGTAGACCCGTCCCTTACACCAGCCTACCAGAAGTACCTGCGTCTTCCACAACAGAGCCTGCTTTAGCTCAAGGTGGAGAGGACGAAATGTTGACAGGCTTCATCCCCACCGCTGCTCCCTCACAGCCCTCCGACTCCCCCTCACACTCAGACACCTTGGACTACGACACCCAACAGGCAGCTCCCACCCACTCCTGGCAGGACGACCTCTCTCAGCACCCCTTCCTGGATCATGGCCCAGTTCCCCCGATGCAGGACAGCGACAGCGGAGTTACAGAAGAGCACACTGTACACATCCTTCCAGGGGAGACCGGCGAGAGAGGTGAGGTGGAGGGAGAGTTGGGGGAGGCAATCTGTACCGGTGAGAACTGCCCTCCGAGCTCCTCTAGCCAAGGTCCCACTGTTGCCGCCATAATCGTGGCGGTTTGCGCTATCGCCACGGCGATGATCGTTGGGGTGTGGTGCTACTGCCACAAACAGAAGAAGAGCTCAATGTACGAGATGAACGGGAAGGGCCAGAGTCAGAGCAGACAGGGCCAACAGATAGAGATGCAGCAAAAAGTGTAAGGGCGACCAATGATGGAGGGCAGAGACATTTGGGAGGGAGGGAAAAATTCAGAGAAATTTAAGAGGAAACCACAGCCCTTCATCTTGCTAGAAACTCATCAATAACTGAAGATTTTGGATAGGTATGAAGAGATGGGATCTGTTTTGAAGAGCAAAATGTGGTTAAAAGAAAAATTGAGCAAAGCAGTAAGAACTGATGTTTAACACAGTGAAACAAGATCGTTTTTAAGGATTTTTACCTATCTATGATGTACCTACCCACTATTTTCAAATCTCTGATATCTAGCTGGATAAGTGGAGAGGGGCTGGACTCAACTCCAGGAACTGAAAAAGGATATTATAAGGGAATAACCATGTAGGAAAACCACAAGAAGGCATGCCTGCCCGCCTGAATATATGAACTGAGACTTCAGCCTCTTGGACATTGTGGTTAAAGATTCTCTGTGTTCAATTTGTGTTGACTTCATTGATGTTTATTGCTTATTCAGTTGTGTGTTTCCTGATTTTTCCAAATCCCAATCTCTCTCTGATTGCCTGAGAACTGTGTTGGAAAAAATAACAACTTTATTCCACTTGTTATTCAACGGCAAGAGCGCTGAAGACTTGGGCAGGTTGTCCCAAATGTAGACAAGGTTATTTTGTTATCAGTAAGAACAAAAAGGAGGATGATAGTTAAAAATATGAGAGGGTCGAGTGAGCGGTATGGAGGGAAAGGTGTGAGAAAGAAGGATGGCAGGTGAAACATTTGAAGATCTTCCTGCCTCTGTTGGTTTTGACAAGGGGCTGCTGAAGGATGAACAGCAGCAGGCCATCCAGATTTCAGAGTTATCCCCATGGTGTGTGTGTGTGTGTGTGTGTTGTGTGTGTGTGTGTGTGTGTGTGTGTGTGTGTGTGTGTGTGTGTGTGTGTGTGTGTGTGTGTGTGTGTGTGTGTGTGTGTGTGTGTGTGTGTGTGTGTGTGTGTGTGTGTGTGTGTGTCTCAGGTGCATGCAATCTGCCAATCAGCGGTACGTCGTGTTTGCTGACGGTAAAACAGAGATAAAACATCATGGTGCCTCCATGGTAACATTTCATTTTCTTTAAGAACAAGTATATAGGATTTAGTGCCATCTAATGCTGAGGTTGAAAATTGCAACTAAATATCCCTCTGTTCACCCTTCCCATTTCCAAGAAAGTTGGAGAACTTCAAGTGAAAGGCACTCTCTAGAGCTGGAATTTGGTTTGTCCCTTCTAGGCTACTGTAGAAACATGATGGTGCAACTTGGCAGATTGCGAGGTACGGCTCACTATCTCGGAGGGAACAAGCCCCCAGGAAGTGCGCCGGCCGTTAAAGCAAATGTTCGCAGCGGCTGAACAGTGGTACTACACTGCTGTATTTTCTGTGATGTCAATTTGGCTGCAATAGACTTTTTCTCATTGATTTTCACATTGGAAAAGAGACATCTGTAAATTACTGAACCTTTTATTTTAGCTAAATAAACTACCCAGTACTACAGAGTATACTTTCAGGGCCCTTATATAAATCATGAGGGTTTAAAAGTAGTAAAATGCGCTAAATCCGATCCAGTGTTATTTTCTCATTCATTTGACTGAGCGGATAACAGAGTAAAGAGGCGGGGCTTAGGGGGAAACTCAAGTGCGCATGCTCTATGGGCCTAAGTGCCAGGACGATGCGGCTACTTTTTTAATTTACCCTTGCTCCATTTTTGGCTTCATGTGCATATCATTTTATGCACATGAACTCACTGTTCCTTTTAAGGTTAGTAGCCTACACTTTCTGACGGTTTTGTGAAAATGTGTACATTTGTTGAGTATATGTAGGGTAGGCCTATGACTTTGGGTTCATATGGGTTAATAACAGGCGCTTGTAATATCTTTCATATGGTATTCAATATTTTGAATTACATCAATGTAATTTACCTTCATACTCGTGCTCTGTTATGTTTGTTAAGATAAAAAACCAGAATGAAAGTTTTAAGAGGGGTTTTCTCGACTGGACTTTTAATAACCGCTGTTTTATTTAAAATGTTTGGGACATCAGAAAATGTGCGCTGTTAGCAAATTTAGTTAGAATTTCACAATGTTTATACATGTGGTTAACTCTCCAGTCGTAGTTCAGACTTTCATAGTGTACTAGCTGCATCATCAGTGATATTCTTTCTCGCTGTCTTCGTACTGTGCCAAACACTTAAGAGCAAAGGTCAAATGTAAATACATTAAATAGCATTTGGAGGGCTTGAACTTAGATATTAGAGTTTGTATTTCTGGTGATGTATATAGACTACACAAATAATTACTTGGCAATACCTTAAATAGGAGGTGCTTTACTTGTAATAAATGTCAAATGTCAAGCACTTCTTGGTGTCATCAGTCATGAATAATCATCAATGTTCCACCATTGTCTCACCTGATTTCTAAAAAGTTGTTTTAAAATGGTATTATTTAGTAACACGTTTAGTTATAAAATAAGGATTTGTTTGTTTGAGGAAGTGAATACCCACTATTGTTGATTTCATAACAAATATTTCTTACTTTTTTAAATGTCTGTATTTTGGTATCTGAATCGATTTAGTAATGTCGCGATGGCAAGGGCAATAAATTACCTACTGTCTTTATGTTTCTGTAAACATGAATCCCTACTAAAATAACCTTCGAAACACTACTTCAGTTCGTTATTTCTTCAAAAAGACAGTCAAGCACAGTTGACTTTAGACATTACAATGTATGTCGTTTTCTTTGCTACAGTCAAACATTTATTAGATTTTTTTAAGTGCATCATGATCTTAAATTACTTTAAAAAATCATGTAATACATAGTGAAATAGTTGTAGATGATGGTAGACATTTTTGAATTGTCATCGGATTACTACTACTAGTAAACTCCAATATAAATGTCCATACTTTACTGCCCTTTATCTCACCTAGATAAAGCTGTTAAAACACAAGTGTTGTCCTCGCAATATCATGGATTGTAGATTATTTAGCAATGAACTGTCTGGTCACACATTTTGCAGATGTTCAATTAGACTAATAGTGGTCATCAAGAAGATGGAGAGAGTTGTGATGCAAAAATCACAAATTTGATAGTAAGTAAAGGGCGTTTCTGTCATTCACATGATGCTAATATTTCTCCATGTCTGTTTCTTCTTCATCTCAAACAGCCTGATGTGTGTGATGTCAGGATGAAATGTGTACTGTATATGTGTTCTCCCAATAAACTCCTAAACATGTGGTTTAAACTTTGGTGTCTAATTGAATTTTTGCAAGATCAGCTTGTAGATCTCAAATAGCATGGCTATTCACATGTTCATTCACATGGTTCATTGTTTGACATAAGGTTTTTATGGGAAAGTGACTGACTTTTTCGTATAAAGGTGTAACTTTGACCTTTACCCCTGCCATCAGCCTTTAATGTTATGTTTCAGACAAGTGCCCTCTTCCCGCCATATACGCCGATTTCTTTGTGATATGTTCAAGAAATGTTCAGAATTTGTTTTAGTATGTTTCAAGAGAAGAAGGCAGCTAATAGGAAGTCATTGGTAAATGAGAAGAGCAGGTAATAAAAGAGACGGGTGGATACAGGCAGCAGAGGAACGCAGAGTCACAGAGGGATACAGTAATACAGCGAGAATGTTCCCCTGTGGGTTTTTAACATCAATGTGTGACAAACTGCAGAGAGACTCAATGTTCAAACATTATTAAACAACTCAGTGTTTTCTCTGCATGCCGCTCTGCTCAGCAGGAGGACGCTTGCAAACATCCTGCTGTATGAAGACTCCAGTCAAAAATTATTGGACTGTAACGGTATTATTCACTTGAGGAATTGAGCAATCAACTCTCAAGCAAACATTTTTTTTAAATGTGTTATGGACCCTATTATGCAAATGTTCAGGTTTCATAATTGTATTTTATTTGGCTAATGTTCAAAAAGGTCTTTATTTGTCTCGTACTTCCTGTGCTGCAGCACCTCTTTTCACCCTGTGTCTGAAACCAGAGCCCAGTCTGCTCTGATTGGTTATCTGGCCGCTTAGAGATGTTCTACTCCTTAGCATATCACGTACAAATGTTGGAGCGCTAGCCAATAGAAGCGCAAGTGTTAGTGATGTGACTTTGTTACAGAAGTAAACAAAGGAGTCCAATGGAGGTGTTTCAGGCATGGGGGATAGAAACTCCCTCTGGAGGGAACTTTCAGACCATTTACATGCACAAAAACCTAACACTCTACAGAAGAGGGAAAACCCCAAAAAGCATAATAGGGACCCTTTAATTTTTACAATTGACCACACCGTGAAAACCAGCATCTGTAGTATAACAACAAAAAGACTGATGTTTGGCAAGTTATATTATCCTTTTATTGTAAAAATGACCATTTGACAGACAACATACATGATTCACAGTGGAGGAAAGTATCCATAAAACAGTGAGTTAAAATATTAATATCTCTATTATTATCATTGTCTTTAAATCATGTAGCCATTGTCCATAACCTCTGAACTGGAGGTTTAGTGCATAAAAAAGGAAATAGGAAAAAAAACTCAGGATGTGGATCTGCAGGTTAACACACAGTGATCAGTCAGAGACTCTTGCAAAACAAAATAAATACAAACTTGCGGGTGTGGTTTTGTTTTGTTGTTTGTTTCAGATTTTAGGCGGAGTTTCCAGTTTGGGTTCTTCCACAACTTCCAGGAACTGATCTATAAACTCAAACACCTCTCCCTGCAGACACACACATAAGAAAGAAATAAAGAAAATCCACTCAGGAGGGTCTGTTTGAAGTACATTAGCATAAATCCTCCCTCGCACAGTTCTCATACCTGGCATTACTAAAGAGATTACAGTGAATAACTGAATGGTGTTTAACGCATAAAGCATGTAATCCTGGTTTATGTGGGGTTGCCCTAATTGCCATAGTCCTTGTGCTGCATCATAATAGTTTAAAGAAGAGCCAGTGTCATGCTGCCACCTCATGGCCGTCTGTAACACTGTAGCCTGATAAACACAGTGTCCACATTGTACTGCAGGGTGTCATGTGACCAGACAGGAGGTTCCCAGGTTTTTACATAAGTTACATGAGGACAGAGCCTCATCCAAACTATAAATGATGTCACGTGAATCATGCAGGTCTTTTTTTCAAGCTGTGTCCCTTTCAGTGAAATACAGAACACCTAATTACTGGCTAAAGGTCTCCTGATGTGGTGCACTAACACATACAAATATGCAGCTGAACAAAGGCACTCACCTCATCGTCGCTCACCAGGCGCTGTTTGGAGAACTCCAACATCCCTAACTGCATAGAGGTCTGATTGTGGTACCGCAGCGCCTCCTGTAGCACACACAAAGGAGCACAGCAGACAAAATGTGAGTTATAGTGAACCAAAGGCATAACAATGAGAAATCATTTAAGAAGGTTCCCCAGGCATGTGTGTCTCTTAATATAAACTAATAACGTGAAGCAGCCAGATAGCTTAGCTGATTAAAAAGACCGTAAAGTGCTACACTGTTTCTCTCACATCGTCTCTGCGCCTGGCCGATAAGTATGCACATAACCCCAGGAACAACAACAGTTGCAGTTCTCAAACTTCTGTTTTAGTACAGATTAAATAAACAAAATAATGTTAATTAGTGAGCTTAGAAACAATTCCCCCCCCCCCCTCCAGACGGAGCCATGCAACCATTTTTTTCTCTGTTTATATTTGTTAAGCAAACAAGATTTACTGTACAATGTTCTCATCTAACTGCCTTAAATACTAAGATAACCTTTTAAAAACCGTTTGACCTAATTAAATCAGTACGCTTCTTTGCCTCGAGTTACTGTGAACGGGAAGATTGTTGCATGGACACGGAAAGACCCCAACACCTCTCCTATAGGATCTACAGACACAAACCTCATGATGTAGTCTTTTTTGTTTTGTTTGTGGATGATTTTCCCCTTAATTTAGTCGCTATGCATTGCCTTGCAGTTGCTTTGTGTCTATTTGTATTAATTTTAAAGCTGTTTGTATATTTTTATAGTTGTTGTTTCTTTGAGGTCGTGCAAGTCTCTTCCTGGTTAGTACGTGTCTCATTGACTGACATTTGTGGGAGAAAGCCTGGGGGGTCCCTTACATAGGGCCCCTAGGCTTGGTCTGTTCAGTAGTTGATCCATGCTGAAAGCTCACTAATTAGCAGGTATATCTTGTTTGATTAATCTGTGTCTAGCTAACTTGGGACCTATGGAACTGGAGAAAAAAGATTCATTCATATTTCTTACTGATCTGGGGAGGAAGTCCTCCTCTGTCAGTTCCCACGGTTTCTTGTGATACTGGTAATAGGCAACGTTATTCTTCATCACTTCATCCTTGGGGTCAAAGAGCATGTAGCTGGCTGCACATGGTACTGCGTTCTTCAGGTCCTTCACTAAAAACACAACAATTATAGAGCTTAAACCAGGGCTTCTCATCACAAGTCATAAAACACAAGTTTATCTTAGGAAACAACACGCTACTCACATTTGTAATAGGCGAACTGAAGGTAGTGGTACATGGTTGCCACAAAATTATCAACGACGAAACCCCCGACGACAGGCGTCAGGTCACTTTCACACCTCACCTTCCTCTCGAGGACCTCAATGTAGTGATCTGTAGAGAGATTAGTAACAACATGAGAAACAAGATGCTAAGAAATAAAGATTAAACTTAGACATAACAGAAAACCTGTTGAAGAAAGGATTAATTCCATAACAAAAAGAAGACGGATGCAAAATGGGGCATTTATCTAGAAGTAAAAGAGAAACACGCTAATAGATGGACAGAGCAGGAGGATCGAAGGCCCTGCAGGTTAACTGACCAGCTATAGAGGGGTAGAAGTCTTTAAAGTCTTTGACGTCTCTGGGACCCTCGGACGCAGCCAGACACTCGTCGTAGACCTTGAAGAAGTCCCGCAGAGCCAGCTCCATGTCTGACACCGAAGTGCGGTAGTTTTCCCCATTATACGCCCGCACCGCACGCACAAATAGTGTCTGCAATAACACACAGAATGGAATGAATGTTTATTTTGTGTATCATAAAAAAATACATTTGAAACTGTGACTGTGAGAGACTGATTAGGGCTACTGTACTTTGGAACCAACCGCCTGCAGAAATTAGGCTTGCAAAATAAGTTTAATCTTTTAAATCCTTTCCAAAAAACACACCATGTTGACTGGCTTTTAAGTGAATCGCTCTCAATCCATTTAGAAAAGTTTTGCAAAGGTTCTTTATCTCCGTTTGTTGTGTGTTGCATCTTTTAACTCATAAATACATTTGATGTTGTTATTGTTGCTGTTCTTCAGTTCGATTGTAAAGCCATTTGTTAACCTTGTTGTAAGCTATTTAGAAAAGTTATATACAAATTAAAGATTTTGTTATTATACCTCATAGGATTTGGTCTCCAGGTCTATGAGGTGTTCCTCAGATCCGGGCATACTCTTGTAGTAGGCCATGTTCCTCTGCATCATCTCATCATCGGGGTGTTTCAGCAGGAAGGTGTGAGCAGCAGACACCGCCTTGGCCAGGTTGTCAGACTGGAAGTAATAAAACAAACACACATTGTAAAACCGCTATTTTAGGTTGATGAGGGTCGCTGTGTTTCTTCTCTGGAAATTAAAGACTTTATGGCAATTATCAGGTCATATCAAGTCAACTATTCAGGTTTTAAGATAGATAAAAACAGGGACATTACATCTACTCAAGAGTCAAAAAAGAAACGAGACAAAAACAAAGAAATAGCACAGTAATATACACTATTTACATTTGTCAGCCTATACTGTATAACCTTTCCTGTTAATTTATCAAACCTTTGTATATAATCTGTACATACAAATAAGACAACTGAATCTAAGTCTTAATGTGAGCCAACGTTGGACTCTAAATAAACGGATTCATAACCTAATCTTAAATCTGAACTACTTGAAGTATTTATGTATTTCTTTGACTGTACAAGCCTTGGTGACTAATGTCTATGAAGGGTGCAATATCAAAATAACTGTGTTTGATGGCTAGATCCCTTGTTGGGTTGATGATGATCATTGAAATGTCTTTATTAGGGTTTGTTTACTTCCTAATAGGAATTACAAGAAAACACAAGCATTCACATGTGAAAGATCAGGACCTCCCCCTCTTGCAGAGCAGACCCCCCTGTGTATCCGTGGCACGTAAGTGACGTCAGAACACGTTTCAGGAAAAAACAAAGTGACGTTAAAATAGAAAGTGTGGATGCACTGAAAGCCATCATCACCATGGTTGACAAACAGTCACACAAGTGCCATGTTTAAAGCCCCTTGACCCCACATTCAAGACATTTCCTTACTTTGAAGTAGGCGAACTGCAGGTATTTGTACGGCTCCCTCCTCTCAAACTCTTCTATGGTGTCCCGGCTGGGCATGGTCTGTCTGAAAGCGGGCAACCCCTCTTTGCATCGCTTCAGGCACTGCGCCCTCTTCATAACGTTTCCAAACGCCCGCAGCTCTGCAAACTCCGCAAACTTCTGCTCGTCGTCCAGCCTGACGGAGCTGCAGTTGAGGTTGCAGAAGGCCTCGCTGTCCCGCAGCAGCCGATAGAGCCGCAGAGATACCTCCATGTACTCCACCGTCTCCTTCCACTTCTCTCCCGTGTACTGGTCCAGTGCGTATTTGTAAGCGGACTCGAGGGGCATCAGCTCGTGCCTGGGGAAACTCCTGAAGCTGTACTTTTCATACTGAGAGTTCACCACAGAGAGGAAAAATGCGAGTAAAAGCGCCGAGAAGACTTGGGAAGAAGTGGAGGGTGCCATTTTTAACTTTGGAAGCGTAAATGGTGGGCTGGGATGAACCAAGAGAGGGTGCGTGGGTCTCTAGGACCGCCTCAAGTTCCACCACGTATCCGGACACAGCCTCCCCACCCCCGGGCACAGGGCTGCTGGAGCTGCCCCTCCCACTATATCACAAGTAAATCACTGCTGTTGTTCTTTACTGTTACATTACAAATAAAAACGTGACAGAGTGTAGAGCTTTATGCAATAAAATCACAACTAATGGAGAAGTTCCTGCACTTTTTAGACAAAGAGCAAAGTTATACTGCATTTATTTTTAATTTATGACTGACAAAGAGCATAAATACAGCTCTTTAAAGTATAAGTATAATTGAACCCCCGGTGGGTGCAGCCCCTCCCACTGCCACGTAGAGACATTCCTGCCTGCTCTGCACCCCCTTTAAATTCCTGAACCCCAGCAACACAACAAAATGAAACATATCAAAACCAACTAAAGGCAAACTTTGTGTTTTGCTCATTGTTACAGTTTAACTACATTCAAGAGGCGTGTCCAGATGTGTTCGTTATTGTGGATCCAGAGGGGGGTTGTGTCTGCAGCTGTATATGGAGACCCCTTCGTTACCACGTTGACATATATCAGAGGCTGCACTGCGCAAGAGCAATACGTGGTGCCCAAAAACTATCCCATTCAATCCTAAATGCATCAAGTCAGCCCGAAAGAAGCAGGGTGTGACAGGAACGACACAGTGCCATTTCAAAATAAAAGCTTTTAATATTTGTCTAAGAAATTATTGTACGTTTGTGTCTTACGCAGACACATGGCCATATATTGAACAGCCCTTTAAACTTGAAATGTATTTACAAAACATGGTGTTAAGGCGACCAGTAGACGTTTTTACCTTTAAGGCATAACCGGATGTTGTGCAGTTTGTCTAGCTTGACACGTGATTATTCCTGAGCTGGGACCGGGGGCAGGACTTCTGTCCAAGTCGGAGTAGAGGAAGCCAAAGTACCGGGGAACACGGAGGCAGATTACTCACACAGGCCGTACCCGCAGTTATCTCCATCGTATGAGAATTAGTCAGCTGTGAAAATGATCCAGTGTTTGCATGCAATGCTGTTTCTGTCGGTTCTGGTGGCCTTCGCCGCCTGCGACGCTCCTCCGGTACCGTTAGACGACATCCTCATTGAGAAAACATTCGTGCCAGAGCAGTGTGTGCGCGCAGTCAAAGTAGGCGACTATGTCAGGTATCACTACAACGGCATGTTTCCGGACGGAAAAAAGTTCGACTCGAGGTGAGTATCACGACTATAATGTTTTTTTTCTCACTTTTAGTTTCACGGTGCAGAGAAGACCGGGCTGCAGGGTGCAAACAGCGTGCGCGTGATGCGTAAAAGTGCGCGTTGAGTGTTTCGCCCCTGTGAGCCACGCAGGCAGGCTGAGCTCTGAATCCATGGATGCTTAAACCAAGGGCTCTAAAAAGATTGTTTCATTCCCAGAGATTACACTGAAGGCCCCAAATGTAACTGATAGATATTTTCATTATTTAACTAATTAATTATGACTGTTAGCCCTAGAGAGTACACTCGATTAATTTAAACCTGTGAGTCAAATCGTATTTCTTATGTTGACCCTCCTTCACCTCAAAAGGTCGTTGGACTTCAATTTGCGAACCACCAAGCTTTTAAACTGTAATAACAGCATACCACTCATGTGGTCTTCTGCCCAGGGCCCCTGGTCCCCCATGGGCCCCAAAAGCTCCAGATTCACTTAAATGTTGGTCATTTAATGAATTGCACATTTTTAGTTAAGGTTATTAACTGTATTGATATCATGCACCCTGGACACAATTAAAATAATCCAAAAAAATGATTTGTACCAGATTTAGAGATTTACCATCTGTAGTCCCTGGGCCGGTGAAAGAAAAAAACACATCCTTATTCTAGAGAAGGTCCTGTGCTCACATATATTCATATAAAGTTAATTATTTCACATTTGTATCTGCCTTTTTGTACATCAATGATACATCTCAATCACAGGATGTAAAGATGCTGAAACTCAAGTCCAGGCACAAATTGACAACAAAAAGAGAATTGGCACCAGACATTGAAACAAGATCCTGGCCAGACATCTTGTGAAAAGTTTTGCCAAAGTACTTTTTTTTCTGAATGAGATGAGGGATTTAGGATTTAGTTTTTCCATTACAAAAGTTAATGTGGTCACTGGTAAAAACAACAACAGTATGTTTGGAATTCAAGCAAGGAACTGCTCCTAACACTAGGATGGGTCAAATGCAGAGAAACCATTTTGTTACATAGTAAGTAGGCCTACTGTGTAATGACAATAAAAGTTAAAAAAATAAAAATAGGAACCAAATGAATGTAATGCAGCCATTCATGTTCTCACAGTTATATTAAAGTAATGTGTTTATGTGTTTCAGTTATGACCGTGGCACCACCTACAACGTGTTTGTTGGGAAGAAGCAGCTGATCGCAGGGATGGACAAAGCTCTGGTGGGGTTGTGTGTCAACGAGAGAGTCCTGGTCAAGATCCCACCTCACCTCGCTTATGGCAAACAGGGATACGGTATGTTTTAAACTTCCTGTCTTACAGCACTATCCTTGTTTATTTTTATGAATGAGGCGAGATCAAGAATAAAAAGTGATCCACTTGAGAGAGGGCTAGTTTAATCCTCTTGGGAGTTATTATTAATACATGAGAGAGCACCCAGCTGGCACTGCTCATCAGAACAATACGAGAATTTGGTCAGGCAATGGCAGGAGAATAAGGGACAACATTTACAGGCTTCTCAATACACACCAAAATGTGTGTTGTATTCAGCCGAATCAGAAAGTGGGCTGCTCCCAAGGAGTCCATGTTGGATGATGTCAGAGAGGCATCACAAACCAGGAAGCAGTTCATAATATTTTTAGCTGAGATTAACTGTAATACAGATGATACAGCATCAGCAGCAGGCAGATAACATGTCTAAATATTGATAATATATAATCCTATATATATATATATATATATATATATATATATATTAGGGCTGTCAGTCGATTAAAATATTTAATCGCGATTAATCGCATGATTGTCCATAGTTAATCGCGATTAATCGCAAATTAATCGCACATTTTTTATCTGTTCTAAATGTACCTTAGAGGAATATTTTTCAAGTTTTTAATACTCTTATCAACATATGAGTGGACAAATATGCTTTATGCTAATGTTTATTATCATTTGAACAATGACAAATATGCTCATGAATATTAAACACAACAACCTCTGAACATTACAAATATTCGCCTCAATTCAACCTGGAACCTCTCTCATACAATACAATATGTGTGTGTGTGTGTGTGTGTGTGTTGTGTGTGTGTGTGTGTGTGTGTGTGTGTGTGTGTGTGTGGTGTGTGTGTGTGTGTGTGTGTGTGTGTGATGTGTGTGTGTGGTGTGTGTGTGTGTGTGTGTGTGTGTGTGTGTGTGTGTGTGTGTGTGTGTGTTGTGTGTGTGTGTGTGTGTGTGTGTGTGTGTGTGTGTGTGTGTGTGTGTGTGTGTGTGTGTGTGTGTGTGTGTGTGTGTGTGTGTGTGTGTGTGTGTGTGTGTGTGTGTGTGTGTGTGTGTGTGTGTGGTGTGTGTGTGTGTGTGTGTGTGGTGTGTGTGTGTGTGTGTGTGATGGATCGTTGGAGCTATGTGCAACTCAAGGCATATGCTCGAACGGGAGCTGCCTGGACGCTGCAATCATGTTGCGCACTATCCGTGCTAAGTGTGCTGACTTTTCGCACAATGTCCCACTGTCTGGCTTCCTGCATAAAGTCAAGTGCTCTGCGCAGTTGTGGCGAAATGTCGCTCCTCTGTTTTCATTTAAACAGCTCCATTCTTTCACACACAGTGACGTCACGAGCTACCCACAATGCAACGCGCGCCATATATCTATATAGAAATACACCATTTTCCTGGAGGTGCTAATATTCTGGAGGTGCTAAAATAAACAGCTAGGTAATGTTGCCAGGCAGAGCGCACTAGGTTTTTTTCTGAATTAACGACCGAAGAAATCGCTGCATGTTTTCGGATTACATCTCTGGACTTGAGGGGTGTGCTCTAGGTCGTTACCAGCGTAAACTAGAGCTGTGTGGGTTGTCCGATTGCCCTTACAGACTGCCTGCAGATGTATGGAAAAACGACTCTCGAAAGTGGCCTTCGGTCGATTTTGGCAGCATCTACGTCTATCTTCTAGAAACACCAGGTGAATACCCCACTTGTCACAATAATATTATCATGCCAATGCATATATGTGGTATTTTAGAGTTGACTAGATATTGATTAAGGCAATAGACTATGATATTCTACTTGCACCTCCCGTGAAATGGTGGATACCGGAAGTACGGTGTCGCCCTCGGCCCAAAACCCGTATGTGTGTGTGAAAGAATATCCGTTAGCGCAGCTAGCTAGCACCAGATGCTAACAACAACAATGCACGTAAGGTCTCTCTCTCGCTCGCTCGGGCCACACATACACACACCCTCCCGGTCCTCCCAACAGCCAGTCGGTGCCTGCCGGTGAGCGTGGAAGTGTGGTCTGCCACAAGCGGGCGGCAGGAGCGGGCTGTCAGCATCAGCTTGTAGATGGTATTTTAAACTCGATGCGCTCTGAAACTACGGGGCAGCCGAGGACAACAAATACACATGTGTTAATCGCGTTAAAATAATTAGTGGCGTTAATTTTTTTTGCGTTAACGCATTATTAACGCGTTATTAACGAGTTAACTTGACAGCCCTAATATATATATCATCATAAGTAACGAGGAGGTCACAGTACACCATAGAGAGTGTTTGTGTCAGAATATGTCGCATTGAATGCATTTGATTTTAGTGACGAGAAGAAGAATGTGAAGGCTCTGTTTACAGAGTGGGGTGAGTCGGTGTATGTTTTTCGTGTGTGTGTATGAAATAGTTAGATAATGGGAGAGAGAGTGGGGGACATGTGTGGACAGGTAAAAGCTGAGGCAGAGTGGAGTCTGTATCAGATGGAACATCAGGAAGAGAGAAGAACATTGGGGGGAGGTAGAAAGGGATTAAAACCAGAAAGAGGCCTGCCAGCTAATAAGCAGTAAAGATTAAATTGCTTATTTACATCATTGGTGGGTAGAGTAAACAACAATGGTACTTAAGGAAGTATTGTTTTTCTTGGTAATGATTTAAATAATATAGGAAGAAAATATAACTACTTGAATAAGAATGAAAAAATATATCTACAACTACTCAAGTAAGAAAGTAACTTCATTAGATGGAATTTATCACATCAATGTTTCCTGGTTCAACAGGTCCAATACAGGTAATACAAAATACTAATGCTATGTACATTGTCTATTTACACCCTGGATGTATATAGCATGGCAGAAAAACATGCACCCAGGTATCTGTAGTAGACAGTGCTATTTACACCCGGGATACATTTGATTATGTTTTGAATATATAGGTTAATTGGAAATGTCATCGTCATTGATAAGTAATTGTTAAAGTGGCAGTAAGGTTATAATTGTTCCCACAAGATGGCTATCTTTGACCAGCAGGTTCTCTGAAAGGCAATGGTATTCAGGGGTTAAAATGGGATTTGTTATGTGGTTAAATGATTACCAGAGTACATCCCATAGAGTTAATGTATCAATAACCTAAATGTTCTCCCTCGCATAGCAATCTTTGCTGCTCTGCAAGTTGTCTTGCTCAGATATATTTTAGTCTTAAATAATGGACTGTTTTAAGGCAAAATCAAGAACATCATGTCATAGCCAATATTATAGTTTATAATTTATTTGGCCTTTTGGGTGAATTAAAAGTCTGACATTTTCACACAAACAATAACTTGTTTTGTGGTACGCTTGGTAATGGTCACACAGACTTGCTAATTTTGAGGTTATATTTCCCAACTTTCATAACTAAAATGTCTCCAAAGGTTTGTGCATTTTTAAAAGTATGTTTTTAAATAAATGGACACGTTTTAAGTGCAGAATTTTGGATTTATATTCAAAACATAAAACATTTCAAAATGCCTTAGGTCTTTGGACGTCTAATCACTCACTAACTGACCTACACGCGTTAAGATAAAAGAAACACTGATGTACATTTGTATTTCTATTACAGTTTCCCAACCATGCCAAAAGCATTCATTCTCTTTTACCAAGCACATTGGTACTTCCTGCTGAACATTACTTGACTTGACAAGTGATTGACTTGTTTTTCTCCCCTCAGGTGAAATAATCCCTGCCGACGCAATCCTCCATTTTGACGTCCTGCTGCTCGACGTGTGGAACTCAGAGGATGGCGTCCAGATCAAAACCTACCACACCCCCTCCCCCTGCTCCAGGAAGGTGGAGGTGTCCGACTACATTCGCTACCACTACAATGGCACCCTGCTGGACGGGACCCTCTTTGATTCCAGGTTTGTTTTGTAAAATAATCCCCAATTTAAAAGAAAAATGCACCCAAACACATATATGTAACCTCTCTCCTCCCCCCCTCCCTGTAGCCACACCCGTATGCGCACCTATGACACTTACGTTGGGATCGGGTGGCTGATTGCCGGTATGGATCAGGGGCTTCTGGGAATGTGTGTTGGAGAGAAACGCATCATCACTATGCCCCCGTCACTGGGATATGGAGAGAATGGAGATGGTGAGTGTTTACAGATTCTTTAATATGATTTATTTCTTTGAGTCTGTTTTTTAATAACTTTATTTAAGATGTGAGGTACCATTTTGACATACAACCAGGGCACATAGGAACAAAACCAACAAAAGAAAAGGATACATAACAACTGCAATGATTAAAAAAAAGATGAAGACGGTTACGAGTATTATATAAAGAATTATAAAACTAAGTACAATATCCAAACATCATCATCCAACCATTTACTTTCAATTACCCACAATAACTCATCCATTTACACATTCAAATTTGTTATTCTCACTCTTTCTCACTCTTCTGAGTCTGATTTTATTTCTGTGATTGATTTTTGAGAAAAAGAAGAGATTGATAATCACAGTAAAAATCAAAAGATGCTGTAGTTGCACAGTTTAAGCACTAGATGGCAGTACATCACACACAAATGCAGTTCAACTACACAACTCATCTGGTTTTACCCTCTTAGTCTAGTCAGAGATGAATAATAGTACAAACATATACATATAATTTATGATGCATTATATTAAATAATATATTATAAGACTACATTAGTCTTCATTTTACAGCCAACAATATTGGAAAAAAATGTATAACAGTTTTTGTATTTTTAATCTTTATTTATTCATTCTACTTTGTTCTTGTGAATATAATCTTTAATACAAATGAACTGCCTTTTTCATACGTGAAGGAAACAATTAAAACCTAATGAAAAGGAGCAAAATAGAATCACTTCCAGTATGAGAGGTAATATCTATTTATCCAACTTTCAAATTAAGCTTTCACTTTTTGTAACAATACCAGATATATTATAAATACATGTTCCTTTATTGCTTCAAGCTTTTCAGAAGGTTACCATGCTGTGAGGTTAACATCAAATTGTCATAGTTTAAAGTTCACCTTGGAAAAGATAGTTTGACAAAATAACAAAATCCAAATATATTCATCAATGGAAGAAGAATGAGTAAGAATGTTTCTGGAGTTCCTGTAGTGCCTTGTTTCTCGTCTTTAACCTTTCCTCTTCTTCTTCTTGGCTCTCCAGGTAGCGACATCCCGGGTCAGGCATCTCTGGTGTTTGACGTCGTGCTTCTGGACCTCCACAACCCCAAAGATGGGATCACAGTGACCAATCAGGTGGTGCCCGAGTCCTGCACCAGGAAGACCGTCACTGGAGACTTTGTGCGCTACCACTACAATGGCAGCCTCCTCGATGGAACATTTTTTGATTCCAGGTATGTGTCAGTGTTTAATATTCATCCTATTAGTCACACAGAAAGGCTCATAGTAAATATAACATTTAATTTAAATGATAGTTGTATTATTTTTTCACACTACCATGTGCTATATAAAACCAGAAACAGATGAGCATTACTGTAACTTAATAGGAATATAAATAATATAAAATAAGGGACAAAGCAAGATAAATAATAACAAAGACTGTCGTAATTATACCTTTAAATTAATAAACCATTCAAATATATTTTACACACTGTTTCTCAAATTAATATTTAATGTCTGTTGTTCCTCAAGTGGCCTGAGGGTGGCAGCATTTCTCTGCACTGAAGCCACATTGAGAGAAGAAACGAAACTAAAAAGCATCAGTGGAAATGTTCCGTTTGATTCATTTACAAAATACTGCTACTTATCAAAACAGAAGATTACTTCCTGTTTGGTAACCTTTGGCAAAGACTGGTCGACTGACAGAAAATGTCTTTACATACTAAAAGTCTAATAAAACTAAAATAAAACTATAAAAATAATGTTCTTTAAGACTATTATTCCATATTTCTTCTTTCATGTATAATGTTGTCAATATATTGTGTTATATATTGCATATATACAAAAAAAATGCATACATAAACCCATGCAAGGAATTTGAAGTTATTTTCTAAAATGCCATTTTACCGTGGCTTTTTTCATGGCAAGAAAAAACACAAATGTAACCTCCAAAACAAAGTGCTGAAAGCAACTCATGCACACAGTGGCTTTAGCCTTTTATTTTCTCTGCCCCTGTTCCCCGCGACAGAATAATTGTATGTCCTATAGTCACTTTACTATAGGTGTTATTCAGTTGTGCACTTCCTACAACCTCTGTATGTGATTAACTCACTATATAGGCCTACTATAAGAAAGTTCATTGTGACTGATTTTTGTAACTGGTAGTTTAACAATACTTTTGTTAATATTTCTCTTCCACAGCTACTCTCGTAATCATACCTATGACACCTATGTGGGCAAAGGCTACGTGATCGCCGGCATGGACGAGGGTCTGATTGGAGTCTGTGTCGGAGAGAAACGCACCGTCATCATCCCCCCACATCTCGGCTATGGGGAGGAGGGCACAGGTGTGTGCAATGCTCTAATACCTTAAACTGTTACACAAAATGTCTCCATTTACTCTTCTTTGTCTGCAGCTTTTAATATTGTTTTATTTTTCCCTTACCATGTCCCTCTCAGGCTCTAAGATCCCTGGTTCAGCTGTGCTGGTGTTTGACATCGACATCATCGACTTCCACAACCCGACAGACAACGCTGTGATGACCACCGTCCACAAGCCAAAGGAGTGTGATAAACAAACCAAGAAGGGAGACTTTATCAAATATCACTACAACGCCTCTCTGATGGACGGCACATCCATCGACTCTACGTGAGTAAACCTTAGTGAGACACTTTAAGGCCTCCTGGGAAAGCAGAACATCTTAACTCGCTTCAACACATCGAGTCTTTCCCTAAAATGTTCATGTTTCTCCTACATTTCATGCAGGGATTGGTATGAGGGGAAATCTGTACCACTGATTTCCCACTTTAAGACTTTTTAACATTTTATAGAAATTGAATGTACAGCTGTATTGTGAATGAAAGAATAACATTGCAGGGACAAGCACGTAAAGGGTTACTTCCGTCAAAAGAAAGTCTCCTTTTTTTAAAGGAGATTCTTTAAAAAATATCCTTTAGGTCCAATTTGAATAAAAAATCTCCACTTTAAATAGCTAAAGCGTTAATAGCTAAAGCGTTATTCCATTACAAAGAAAGAAACTTTCATATGGCATTTTTCAAGACAGAAATGTTCCCTGGATGTAGTGCATGTGAGAATAGTGAATCTCACTATCAATTTGTGAAATAAATCCTTAAAAAAATATATTGAAGAGAGAATCTCCACTTTAAATCCATTCCACTTATTCAGCAGAGTTGATAATGGATTGCATTGAGAAAATGACCTGACCTCTGAGCTGATCTTGAGGGCAAGGGCGTTTAAACCATCTGTTGTCTGTGAAGACCAAATGGTGGGGAGACTGACAAAAGGACAGGATGTGACAAATTGCATCTCAGTGGAAAGGATCAAAGGAGGGCATTTGTTAGAGCTGTGTTACTGCAAGCCGCTCTTTGGATGGTCAAATGTGTTTCAACAGGATCACAAAACCAAACCTCCAGGCAAGTATTTCATTGTAAAACAGAGTTAACTGTCAAACAGTAGGATAGGAATATCATGGAGAGATTTTAAAATGTTTTCTACACACGCCTGAAAGGTTATCCATGGGCTGTTGACAGTGCAAAATAGACAGGTGTAACAAAAGTATTTGGATTTATCATATGGGGAGCACAAATTTCCAATGTTCAATATTTCTTGGCAATGCAACAGACTCATGACACTAGCATGTCTAAAAATCTTAACAACATTTGAAATCAGTTTCATACCGTTGTATACAACCACTCTTATGTATGTAAAAAGTGCTAGGAGGAATTGCTATGGTAGTTTTTCCGTCTCATGCTGTTTTTATCTGTTAGTCTTCAAGTCCTAACTGCACATTCACCTCCTCTGTAACACTTTATATTAAGGTACACAAATTAACCATCAACTAGTTGTTAATTAACATGCATATTAGCAGTATATTGGCTCTTTATTAGTCATTATAAAACACTTATTAATGCCTTATTCTACATGGCCGTATTCTACAAGTAATAAGCCATTAGTTGAGAGTTTTTCCTCAATAACCCTCTAATTAGTGCTTATTTATTGCAAGTAAGGAAGTTGTTGTACATGAGTTTGGGTCTTAATATGCTCTGCTCAATATGGGCCTAATAAGGCAGTAGTACCACAAGAATAGTAATTCTCCCATAATAACACTTAACAAATATGATATTTTCTTATGTAACAAGACATTAAACTATAAGTGTTAATTGTGTCTAAATAACTCAAAATTAGGTATTTCTATCTAAGAATATGTTCCCTATTTTAAAGTGAAGTCTTGTTCATAACCAATAAGCTAGTAATTTGACTCTAATTGACCTGAACAGGTTCCCTATTCTAAAGTTGCCTCTTCTTCCCACTTTGTAAATACATGATAGCTGATGATAGCACACAACTACTGAAATTAACCTCAACAGTACATGAACAAAGTAGGCTCACGTTGAAATATCTGTTTTATTAATGAACCACTATAGAGAGGTTCAGACACATACCAAAACATGTCAAGTTTCTCCAAGGCTGAGAACACATAATGCAGCCTGTACTTTTTAATAAAAACAGATTTTGAACAGATTTGATGTATTTGTGATCATACTGTGTGACCTGCTTGTATGTACTTACACAATAGGTGTACTGTTCTTTCTATGTGTTGTACTGTCTCAGTGTGAACATAGATTAAACAGCCAGCCAAACTTTTTTGAGAGCCAGGGAATGAGCAGCCATGCTCCTTTATTGACTTATTACAATTTGAAATCAGTTTCATACTGTTGTATACAACCACTCTTATGTATGTAAAAAGTGCTAGGAGGAATTGCTATGCTAGTTTCTCCGTCTTCAAGTCCTAACTGCACATTCACCTCCTCTTCAGGTCCTATCTGTCTTTTTAATTTAAAGTCTTCCCCTTTTTAGTGCACCATACAGCCCTACATTATTTGCAAGTTGATTAGTGTTAAATGTATAACCATGTGTACTCACGTTTTTGGAAAATTGCAGGAGCTTATAGAGAGCATGCTTCATCGAAATGATAAAAACAAATTAAAGTAGAAAAATATCATAAATATAAAAGATAAGATAATCTTTCACGGATTACTTGAAGACTTGCTCTGTCACGAGATAACCTTCAAAACGTATCTATTTTGTGGATTCAAGACTAGCTTTGGCCTTTACCCCACTGAAACACAACTGAACGTTGACCTCCTGGCACACATTATCATCCTGACTTTGAATATTTTCACACATATAATATATATATAATACATAATTGAAGAATACTATTAGAAGTAACATACTATGTGTGATGTTAAGAGTGATGACCAAGATAGTTATTTTGTGTTCTCTGTTTTTTTACGATTTGTTTCAGGCATAACTATGGAAAGACGTACAACATTGTTTTGGGAGCCAACCAGGTAGTGCCAGGGATGGAGGACGGACTCATGGAGATGTGTATTGGAGAGAAAAGACATCTTGTCATTCCTCCTCACTTGGGCTATGGGGAGAGAGGAGTCGGTAAGTACTTCACAAAACTCTATCAGCAGAAAGAACAGGGAATATATAAGATGGTGGTCTTTCTGATGAGTAAGATTCAGATTTTCATGCATGTACCTTTGAGTCAGACTAGCTGTGTCAGTCTTTAAGCTGAGCTAAGTTAAGCTAAAAGAGTGGCATTTATCTTCTTATGAAAGTCAACTCATTTATCAAACAAACTGTCACAGTGAAGATCCAGCTTATAGTTTGTGTTCTAATTATATATTTTTTACACATAGGCACTTTAAGACATCTTATCTATGATATTCTAAAAACATATACAGTACCACCACTCAATCATGGCCCACCATTTCATTGCAATCTTTTAGCAACAGTGGTTAACATTATTCAATGAACTAGTCAGAGATGAGAACTTCTGTATCTTTAATCATGTTTTGCAAAAAGAAAAGCACTCATTCTCTAGGTCTCTATAGAAGAGTGCAACTTCTTACCCTGTTTAGTCAGTTGATTACAGTTTGAGTACACATGCTCAGTCAAGAGATAAAAGACCCATGATTTTGTCAAAGGGTGCTAACTGAGAGGTCATGTGGTCATTTGTGACTGGTCATCTACAAAAGGGATGATATCTTAACTCCATTAATCTACTCTCTTCTGGTATGTAAGGCTCTCACAGTAACTAAAAGCATTAGTTGAGGTAACATTTGAATATTTATAATTAACGTGGAGATATTTAAAGGACAACCAGCAGAGTTGTGGAGGAGATGAGTTGATTTAGCTGGTGAATATAAATACATTTTCTTTCCTTCAGCAGCACTAAGTCTGAACTCTACCACTAATGCTGTTTGTGTGTGTTTGTATGTGTGTGTAGCTGATGAGGTTCCCGGGAGCGCTGTGCTGGTGTTTGACATTGAGCTGGTGGAGCTGGAGGAGGGACTTCCTGAGGGCTACATGTTCATCTGGAACGACGACGTGTCCCCCGACCTCTTCACTGAGATGGACACTGACAAGAACGCGGAAGTAGAGCCCTCTGAGGTATGTGACACTAACCTGCTGTTGCTGTAATATTTGTAACATCTGATACGTTCTCACTATTACAGTCTGGGTGTCCTTAACTTAACATCTTCGACTCCACGTTTGTTTCCACAGTTCACTGACTACATCATGCGTCAGGTGAGCGAGGGCAAAGGCCGTCTGGCTCCTGGCTTCGATCCTAACCGCATCATTGACAACATGTTCTCCAACCAGGACCGTGATGGAGACGGAAAGATCACAGAGGCAGAGTTCAGACTGAAAGCAGATGAAGCCCCTCATGACGAGCTATAACGGGATTGAGAGTGAAACTCAGATCAGGGTGTAGGCTGAAGGGCTAGACAGCGGGAGTGTAAAACACATGTGGGTAGTAGAGTAGAAAAAAAATTGGGTTGTGTGTGTAAAGTAAGCGAGTGTGAGTCGAGAAATGTGCTGCAAGACTGTTTTTTTGTTATATTTTTAGATAGTGTTCAAAGGGTATCTTGTTTCGTAAGTGCCAAATGAGAAGAAAGAGGAAGGATTATTTTTAAGCTTTAAAATCGAAAGAAAACACCTCATTTTAAGTCTGTGATGACGATTCATTTTTTTTTTACCTCCTCTCCCATCAAGTTCTTGTCTTGTTTTATGTGACTCTATTTTTATTTTTATATTGAAGGGTACAAAAGCACTCGTGTGTGAAAGAACAAAACAATGCCTCACTCCATATATCTCTACATACAACAATCCTTCCCGACTTTTATTGTCGTTAATATTTTGCATTTTCTTTTCACTGGGTATCAACTTGTCTTTGAAATATCTGACAGTCTTCCAGGAGCAATACGTCGGCGATAAGTGAGAATTTTATGTAAGAATATTTGTTTTATACATAGTTTGCAGCTGACACCTTTCACTGTTTTACCTTTAAATGTCAGGATGCCTTCTATGTTTTCTGCTGTTAAATGTTCCAAAATAACGCTGAAAGGTCAAAAACCCTAAAATGTTGTCAGGGGATTTACAGTCTTTCAATCAGGTTTGATTGGTCAATTCGTTTTTCACCTGTTTTGTTCTTCATTATAATGTCAACACCTGGTTGCAATGTAAGACTTTGTGTGTATTTGTGTGCGTGTGTGTGTGTGTGTGTGTGTGTGCTTGAGTATGTGTGCGAGTGTGTCTGTGTTTTTCTTAGTAAGAAATACAGAGAAAATTGTGTATGACTGTTGCTGTTTTGCTTGATGATGACAATGTCGACACAAAGTTTGATTTTATTAAATAACCTGACCTAAATATTTTGTCTGTCTTTATATGCTCCAAGTGATATGTTTGCTTTAGAAAGTTTAACTGCTCGACTGACTGCACACCTATAGCATAGCCAGTCAAAAACAAACACATTGACAAAAAACACAAATGATATATTCTTAATTATGGATAACTACAGTACATTTAAAATTATAGAGCAAATACGAATAATATACCTTACCTAACAGTGAAAAAAAACAAGTTGAGAAATAATGGAATTTCTGAATAGAATAGGAAAATAAATAATGATAATATTAAAGTGCTCTCGGTTAGCTGTTATATAATAAATGAATGCCCTTCCATAGTTTATTAACAGAAAGAGTCCAGCAAAGAGAAAGCAAAGTAGTTACCATTCAAATATCGTTTGCACTTTCACTAAATGTACAGTATTTCTACGCGTAAACAAAAAAAAGGCATCACACAGACAATGGGGTCAGGTTCCCTTCTGTTCTATCCCACTGAACCATAACCTCAACATTTACATAAGCAGGTATGTGTACCAGTGGGAAAAGCCCCCCTTTTCAAGCCTCAAGGATCCTTCTTAGGACATTCTGCCACCAACACCACCAACATCATCACCTTATTTTATGTATAGTAAATTATTTATTTTTAATACAATTGATATTGTAGAATCTGTTTTATATGATGTGGTGGAAATCTGTCAATGAAGGGAACAAACAAATGAGACTTGTCTATGTAAGTTTATTAGGCTTCTGCGCAGAAGGATCAAACTCAGCAAGCAACAGCAAGTCACTGCCAAAGAAATCGATGCCGAGCACACTTTCATCAAGGTTTTTATATGTATTAGTGCAATGGATCAACAGTTTCAAAGATGAAATCCTATAAAAGGGAACAATTAACAAGTATAGTCGTAAGAAAGGACCAGTTGTTAAAGAACAGAGAGCCAACAGTACTTGCTTTAAGGGGCTTTCCAAAAAACAAAGGCACACTCTTGTCATGGTACACAGGAAAATAAATTAATGACATCCTGGGTTATACTTCTGCCTACATCGTACGCCTGTGACAATTAGTCGTGCACAATTATGTATCGTCTGGGCCACAAGTTGAAACAGAGGACAAGTATATCCTTGTTGTCATGAGTTAAACCAGAGGACAAGTTAATCCACAATGTCATACACAAGACTATAAGTAACAATTATAAAAGACCCCAGCCACTAACTGTTCTATCTGCTGCCATCTGGCAGGCGGTACCGCAGCATCCGGACTAAAACCACCAGACTCAGGGACAGTTTCATCCCACAGGCCATAAGATTATTAAACACCTGAACTTTTGAAACAACATCCATAACATTCATCTGGCGGGAACTTACAAATTATTGATCTAATGTATCATATTCCAATCACTTGTATATAGACTCTTATTGCACTATTGCACTTTTTACAATTTTTTCTGTTTTATTGTGTTGCACTGTTGGTGGAGCCTGGGACCTAATATTTTCATCGTCATAACCTGACCTTTACCTCACCTACCTCTATTAAGCTTACCATTGATAAAAAGATGCTAAATTGGCTGTAAATAGAAAGGATGTATGTTTTTTCATCATGTATTTTCAGACCACAACAAGCCTCCCTAATTACCAAGGGGTCTCCCAACGACACAGGGTTTCCCCTCCAGGGGCAGTTTTGATACTGCTCTGGGGTTCTACCAGCACCTACTACACTATACACTCCGTTTTGCTATCCTAGCGGTCGGACATCCGTGGCTGGAGTGCCTAAAATAGGGATACGACGGGCAGTTTGGTGTTAGAGGCCACGCTGTAAACGCCCCCCTAAGCAGATTACGTTGATCTTGCGTGTAGATTCTGGGGGGTTTAGTCCTAAAAAGATTCCGTTCACCGCAGCCTTATCAGCACCGGAGTTCGGTATCGGAGACGGCCTAGATATTAACGTTGGTTGTATCGAAGTTAGATTCCTTTTCACTATGAACGTATGCATAAAAGCCTTGAAGGCCAAGCTTGAACCTTGAAGGATCAACAGTCATCACATGATAATTTTTCATTTTTCCACCACAATGTATAGTCAATTATTTATTTTTAATATAACTGATATTGTAGAATCTGTTTTATATAATCATGTGTTTTAAAGTCACTGTTGTGGCAATTTAGCACTCACAACAGGAAAGAATGAAACAGAGAGGAATCAATAAAAATAGCCACAGATATAGTTGATCAATTATTATTTCGTTGTACAACAATCAATAAGAATGAGGAAACATTACCTTTGCTCTCAAGCAGTGATACAGTAAGGGACCCAAGCCAGTGGAAGAACAAACCACTCTGCACTCTTTTTATTTGTTTTTTTTTGCAGACATGGCACTTTTAGCACAAAGTACAGAACAATTTGTTTGTTAAAGAAAAGAAAAATACCCATCCCCTATCCCTACCGCATTAGGTCATGTTCACAGTAAATAGGAAACAATGAAAAAAATAAAATAATAATTGTTAGGGAATAATTTGCTTAGGTATTCAACCTTTGACACAGTTCATCATTTTCATCTTTCACTGTCTCTTTTCCCATGGCATAGGTCTACGGCCTTGGGTATTGCTGCTATCTCTCTTAAGGAGGGGCAGCTTTGGCGCATTGTTGTTGCCAGCTTATGACCGAGCACAAGCTGACATGAGATAGTGTTACGATGTGAGGTGCAGGTGAAAGAACGATACGTGGAGAGAGGGTTTTCTTGCAAAAAATAAACAGGCGTTTTATTCTTAGCCTTCCACATTATTCCACAGAAACACAAACTGCATGCCTGGTGCTGCATTCACCAGCAAGGAACAAACACAAAAACGAATGCCCTTTCCCTCTCTTCCCAACCACATTTATAGGAGACTGCCCGCCTTCCCACTCCAACCTGGCCAATCAGGTCATGGTTCTGAAAGCGGAGTGAAGGGTTAAATACAAAATGAAACACTGTTGTCTACCTTTAATAAAACCCTAAAGGCTTAAGTCAATTCATTATTGCATCGCCATAAATATTATACCTTCAAGAACAACAAGGTCTGCTTAAAACGGATAGTTTTTAACCTAATTGACACTCATAAAATCACACATTTCCTGACCAATCGCGTCCAAGACTCCGCCTACTCATACGGCACATATAAGGAGTACTTTGGAGGCGTGCTCCCCCTTTGAGCATTGGGACAAGATGGCCTCCAGGTCTGAACAAAGGAAATGGTGATTACTTGGTGCTTGTGTGTTTTACAGACTGACAAACGAATTTAGACGCATTTTATTAGTTTGTCTATGTAAACTGTTTTTATAACTTTAACTGAAATAAAGACAACTCAGAAAAAAACATGTACTACCTTTCTTAACAAACAAATAGTTAAGACCAACATGTTAGTGAGGGAGTGTGTGCGCTTCCTCACAGATAGTTTATTGTTCAGGGACATCTAGAGGCCCTTCTTTTATCTGGAACGTAGGTTCCCTGCACACATTATTTTCGATGGACGACTGCTCTAGTTAGATTCAGGGTCCATATTTGTTTAGTCTCGCTGATAAAGAATGTTGATTATTACACTCCGAACTAGTTAAAACCTCGATTACAGAAGCGTTCTTCAGAATTGATTTGGCATCTCAACCCTGTGGTCAGACCGTGGACCGTAACATGTCTTGTGAATTCTCCGGCCGAAGCTCCAAATAAACCGTCAGTGTTTGCCATCAAAGCTCCAGCTCTCCTTGTGTCTCTCTGAGTCCTGTCTCCAATTGCTTCAGAAGTTTCCCCCCATAATAAAATAAAATAAAATAATAAATACAATCAAAATAATTCGTTCTTTTGGAGATTTAATTTATACCCTGACAAACGTCCAAATTGGTCAAGGATTGACAATATAGGCGGAAGGGAGGTCACCGGGTTGTATAGGAGGAGGTCGTCAGCATAAAGGGAACATTTATGGACTAGGCCATGACGAGAGATGCCCTCAAACCCATCATGGCATCTGAGCCAGATAGCTAAAGGCTCGATGGCTACATTGAACAACAGGGGGGAAAGTGGGCATCCTTGACGTGTCCCCCCGTTGGAGAGGGAAAGGAGATGATTTAACGCCATTAGCGTTCAATCATTGCTCAGGAGTCAAAGCCACATTTTCCCAAGATGTAGAACAGGTAGCTCCATTCCAAGGGAGATGGGTCCCACAAAGGGTCTTTGCCTTTCTTCAGAGGCAGAGAGATGGATGCCAGGGTTGCAGGTAATCGGCCCATATACCTGAAGGGAATCATTAAACATCCTTGCTAGAATTGGGACTAAAGGAGCCAAATATGCCTTGTAAAATTTGACTGTGAAGCCGCCGGGACCCAGGGACTTCTGTTTGGCATTGATCTGGTCAGTTCCTATATCTCTAAGGCGGATATAGAGCCACCTAGTGTACCAGCGTTAATTTCATCAATGTTTGGGTAAGTTAATGAGTCAAGAGGGTTTGGGTTCATGTCAATTGTAGGGCATTCAGATCTGTAGAGGCAATTGTAGTATTCAAAGAAGGATCTATTGATTTCAAACAGGTCGTGACTAAACTGCCATCAAGCAACTTAACTTTGGGAATTAATCTGGAAGTGCTAACTGCACGAGCCTGCTGAGCCAGAAGCCTCCCAGCATTGTCCCCCTGTTCAAAAAAGCATTGCTTGGTTTGACTTAATTGTTTTTCCATCATGTGTGTCTTTAAAAGGTCATGTTCTGAATGCAATAAAAGACGTTCTTTATAAAGGGCAGTTGAAGGGGATGAGGAGTAAGTGTCAGTCTGCACTTTTATTAAGACCAGGGCCGTCCCTGGCCAACATTGTGAGACGAGCCCCCCCCCTAACCGACGGGAGTGAAAACATTTGTTTTGGATGCAAAGTACTTTGCAAATATAATTCCTATAATTATTATCAACACAGTTAACACAGGTAAATGGTAAATTGTTGGAGAAATACTGTTTTCTCCACTCTTTGGGTTGTTTTAATGCACTGATATCATGTGTGGCTCTGAACTGTGTATGACCTTGCAGCTGCCTCTTCTTGTGATAGGAGGAGGCAGGGCATTTCAGGTTGTTGATATTTATGAGAAGACAGACTTGCTGTCTCCTAAATATCTAATTTCTATGAAGCGTGAAGGAAGTACGTGACTCTTTCCAGAAGACGTCACAGATGACCCATCGCATATGACCCGACTTTCCGACACCCGCGGCTGATATTAGCGCCACCTCGATTTACGACTTTGTTGTTATCTCCTGTGTTTTGGACTATATAAGCCTGATGTTTTTTGCTGTTCCTTCGAGCAACATACCCCATGTGTGTGAGTTAACCCATATCCTTTGTATGTGATTTAACTCTGCTCCTTCTTGCAAGAATAAATTAGTTACCTGATCATTGATTCTCAACCTGGTGTCGAGTGATATTTTTCTAACATAAATGTATGTCGTTCAGTATGCGTTTACGGGTGAATACGTCTGCATTTCCTGCCAAATACTAGCCTCAAAAAGATTAAAATATAATTAATGCAAACAAACTACGTCTACTAATAACAATAATCAATGCAATAATATAAATACTATATTATTTTATTATATAGTCAAGACAAAACATGCTTATTACATGCTCAAAAACTGATATTTCTTAAATCTGTATTCAAATTATAGTTCCCTCTGTCAGCAATGTATCAACAACTACACACACATTTCTATCAGTATTTCTCTGTGTTGTGGTTGACATGATGACTGTTAGGAGTTAAGGGGAGAGGCTGAGCATCACCATGAAATGTGCAAATTTACATAAAAATTAATAAAAGGGGAAAAAATGCTCCATGTTTTTTAGGCTGTAAACTTTAAGTGTTATGTAAGCCAACGAGACAGACAGTTTATCACTCTTCCTCCTGTACATTAGCAGATAAAAGAGAACTGTGCTGAGAACTGCGCACAAGCCGAGCTCATAAGCCGAGGCCCCCTGCACGAGGCCCCCTGCGCAATGTGAGGCCCCATGCAGCCTGCATGATCGGCCTGTAGAGAGGGACGGCCCTGATTAAGACTGCTACTCAGCCACTTTAGGATGCAATTTCCCTATTTGTGTGTGTAATGAATTGTACGTACTGTGTATGGTGAGTGTTATTTGATCTTATTTGCCATGCCAAAGACACATTTACATGATATGAACATTTTAATGGTGTAATGTAACTCAACCTACATTTCCTCAAGCACTGTACTAAGCAAAGAGATTTGTACTTTACTTGAGTATTTCAATGTGTTGCTACTGTTTATGTTGTGGCAATTTAGCACTCACAACAGGAACGAATGAAACAGAGAGGAATCAAATAAAACACAGATATAGTTGATCAATTATTATTTCATTGTACAACAATCAATAATAAAGAGGAAAACATTACCTCTGCTCTCAAGCAGTCCTACAGAAATGCTCCAACCCAGTAGAAGTTTTACAGAGACATATATAGGATTCTAAAATGACGCACGCTCATTTTCCTTACATTAACTAACACACAACATCACATGTTCTGGCTCTCAATGCTATACTTGTATGTTCCAGATGTCGAAAGTTTACTTATCTCATGACATCCTTTAGGAGTAGTCAACTAACAAAGGTTAACTGTTTTTATAACCTGAGGCCTTCTATGAACTTCCTCTGACATAGGCCTCTCCAAATCGGTGTGACTTAACTCGACAACAGACTTAGTATAGATTATCATGTGATCTTAATAAATAAACCAGAAATACGCTGTAATAAAGATTCTGCCATAACGCTTTTTACCCCAGGTAAATAGTGTACTGTAGTGATACTGGTAAGGATAAACTAATGTTAATATATATATATATATATTAATATAATTTCACATACCGAAACGTTAACGCTTGTCTGAGTATATCTTCCGTTGACTCTGGCTGTGGGTCTTACCGGCTGTTGATAGCCCTTATAAGCTAACGCTAGCATGCTTTATTCAGACATTAGCCTTTAGCCCGCTTGGATTTATGGGTGGCTAACGTTACTACAGTCCGGTAGCTCATTTAAGAAAATGTAACGTTATTTATGGGAAACGTTAGCCTACGTGTGTCTGGCATGGATGTATAATAAGAACTGAGTGTCTGGCCGTGACTCTGACTGAGTATGCCGTAAAAGCTTGCGCTAATGTTTAGCATGCGCTAACGTTTAGCGTGTGCTAATGTTTAGCATGCGCTAACGTTTAGCATGCTTTATTCAGACCACGCATTATCCAGTGAAGAACACTCAGCAGAGCATATATTTCTCAACACAACATTAACTGTAACGTTAAATGTTCTTAACTGAGCTAGTGGACTGTAAAAACACTACCCACCCATGACTCCAATTCGACTACAGGCTAAAGTCAATGTCTGAATAAAACATGCTAGCGTTAGCTGTCTACCAGCATGAGTCATGGTCAGATTCAAAGGTAAATATACTCAGACAAACATTAAGTATATTAACTTTACCTTTTCTTAACTGAGGCTTGGTGGCCTGTAAACAGTATGAACAGGCGGGCTGCGTGTTTTCTATTGTAAATAAATAGATAAGACTATGAATTTGTATTTATTACCAGAGTAGAAATTCTGGTGTTAAACGTCAATTTAAGGACAGAGTAAGTGTGTTTCTTTTATATTGACGAGCGACTTATATTTTAATTTTCAAGTTCAATTGATAAAGATATTGTAAATGTAACTTTAGTTTACAACATCGTGTTATATATTTTTACATCACCAAAATGTTGACCACTGTCCTAAAATAAAGTATAGGCTTTGAGTAACGAATTTTAGTGGGCTGTCTTTCATTTTGACACACACATAATAAACATACATACTGTATGTTAAATGGATATATCCGCCTTCTTTTATTTATCTTTCCATTCCCACAACAATATACATAAATAAATGGCATATTTTGGACATAGTTCGAATGGTGATTAATCATGATTAATTAATTTTTAAGCTGTGATTAATCTGATTAAAAAAATGTAATCGTTTGACAGCCCTAATATATATATGAACTTTGTATGTAATACTTTGTAAAGTACAACACAATGCAATTTGAAAAGAAAGAATGTATTGAGTGTACACCTGCATTTCATTAATTCCCTCTTCACATCTCTATTTATCTCTTTCTCTTAGAGCGCCATGGCTGATATTGAACCACCTGTTCGATTGCTGATCATCTTGAACGACCACAACAGCGTCAGACTGGAGCTTCGAAATGGGATTCCCAACTCAATGGAAGAGCTCATTGAGGAGGTCAAGAATTCATATGGATTAGAAGGTTACATAAGGCTACAGTATAAAGACACAGATTTTTGGAACACATTTGTTAATCTTACATCTACACATGCGATTAAAGATTTAACAGTGATCAAAGTTGTCGAATTAGACCCCGATTCTACAACTGTGGTCTTGTACCCAGTTGAGATACCATTAAATAGTACCCCTACAAGTGGACTGTACAGTGAAGACTCCTCTGGATCTGTGAATACAGATGACACAGTATACTTAGCGGCTCTTCCTCAGAATCATTAAGAACACAGCAGTGGCCTAAAGTGTTTCCAATCCCGGTCTTCTCCTATGACACAGAATGTCAATTACAGAGAGGAAATGCAGAGTACACAAATAACCAATCTAGACTGACACCAAGCTCAAATCATCTGCAGAGCTTGCTGTGAACTCGTTGAAGACCAAGTCTCAAGAAGAGTCCTACCCTGCGAATAATTTTAAAGAGAGCCAGGCGAGCTGAGGCCAACCATTTTCCATCCTTGCCGATTGGTGAGACTCCAGAAAGCATGGAGCAAGAGACAATTTCCCTTTTGGCAGAACAACAGAAAAGAAACAACCGGCAATCAATAAAAGAAAAGATGGCGAAGGCGTTAGGATACCGAAGACAAGAAATAGTGCATCGGAGGCCAAGCATTGAAGGCCTCTTGGAGCGGTGGCCTGCACTTTTTCACATGGAAGAGGTAATTATTTTTGATGAAACCCTTGATTGTAAGCCTGTAGTGGAGAAGAATTGAGGGCCCAACTAACTAACAACTATAGACAGCCAAGGCAAATATGTTGATGTTTATTTTTTAATATATATCACAATATAAGCTTTACATCTATTACTCTTAGTGTCTTTATTTGGTGGTGGTTTTCAATAAATATGTGGATTAATTCATTTAAATGTTACATTCATACAAGCTGACTTGGAGTACTTTTAATCAAACTGTTGGCTCTTTATAAAAAACATGTGTATTATCAATTCTCAGTATTTTTTGTTTTCTATGCTGCTTATATTTTCTAGGTAAATGCTGAGTTAATGCGCATAACAACATTTCCATTGGAGACAAAGTTCTTGGCGCAGTTGGACAAACACTCCACCAAACTACTGCAGGTCATCAGGAGCAGGGGAGGAGTTGTGAAACAGAAGACCACCGGGATCTTGCAGGTTTTGGATGAGGTATCTATGAATGAGTTTTTTTATCTGTGGGATCAGTGGCTGAATCGTCCTTTTTTTTTGCATTTGATTCATTATATATATATATATATATATATATATATATATCTCTGTTGTTACTCAGACTGTGGACATCACCATCAGAAGAGAATGCATCCTCAAATCTCTAATGATCTACCTGGGTGAACCTGTTGACCATCTCATCAAAGAATTCCAGGTAAGACCTCCCACTCACTCACAAGAAGTTTGTTCATAAAAGAAAACATATTTGTACTGCATGCAAATAACTGCTTGGTTAGAAAGATAGTCATTTGTGATGACCACCTGAGCTTTCCTCTTGGGCCGACTGAACTGACGCCTCAGGCCTGTTGAACTACACTCTGTGGTCCTCATCCATTCCCCTTTTTTTTGCATGATATGCAGGACGCTGAGGCTGGAGAACTGGAGCAGGCAACAATGGAAACCTTTGTCACTGGGAAAGAGGATCAGTTTCATCGACCCAAAGACGTCAAGGTTCTCATCGAAGGAACAGAGGTCCTCAGCGGCTTGCCCTCGGTTGTGACAGCTTTTGCCATGCTCTTCGGGCTCATATACGCACTGAAATGGGGCGAAACCTGCGAGCTAGTTCAGGCAGTCAACTCGAGCACTTATGCTGCATTCATACATAACGCCCCCTTGCCACTCTACAACCAACCAAACAGAGTCTCCTTAATATGCCGCTCTATTTAACCTGCCAGATCTCTCTCCATGCATTGCTTGCTGCTGCTATTGCCGCAGCTACCTCTACGTTGCTGCTGCTTGCCTGCCCCACCACCACCCCAGCTTCCACCTGTAGGCTCGGGGGTTAGTTATTTGATCATCACTCATCGTGCTATGTATATCTGTGGAGTGATGATGCCCGAGCCTAGTCGCCAAACTCAACTATATGCTGCTTCTAATAAACATGTTAAAGGAACACGTGAGTTGTCTGACTGAACTTAAGATATCAGAAATAACTGCAATCCACTTTTGAAGTTGTGCAAAAAGTCCTGATGGAGGGGAAAAAGATGAGCCCAAAAGTGAATAGACTGAGAACCCAGCTGTTCATCCCAGAGTAGACACTTTGTTGCACTCACTCACAGTTACCATTGTTACATGGTAAGGTTTCTAAAACCAAGGTTTTATAATAATTATGCATTGTAAAACATTTGCGAAAAAGTGTTGTGTTCAGAAGTTGCACTTACAGTATGACCGATTTTCACTGTAGAAGTTATGCATGTCTAATCATTTTCAGAGATTACATGTCTCACAGGCGCAAGTTGTCAGTGTTGCTTTAAAAAAGTGTGCAGTGGATAATAAGGACAAGTCTTTTTTCTAAGAGTTTGATGTTTGGAAGCGGCCCACATATTACTGCATTTTAACTGTGGTACTTATTAACATGTCTAAGATCAGGTAATGGCTGCCTCAGAGGCCAAAGCTGGTTGTGTGAACAACTTGTTTTTCATTCAAATAAATGTGCTCTGGTGTTAAAATATACAGATTGATCTGAAGAAATTGAGTCAATGTAAAATATTTCGTGTGATTGATTACTCTAATATTTTTTTGTTGGTACAACGTTTTACTTTTATTAGTGTACCTTTCAGTTGCATTGCACTCCTTAAACGTGTTTGAGACACTTTAGATAACAATGTGGCTGTCATTTGATTAACTCTGAAAATACAGAGATTTTTATTGAATAAATCACCCAAAAATCACATGAATTGAGTTACAGGTGTCCCCTCAGCTGTGCAGACTTATTTAATAATACGGTAGGAAATTGTGGAGTAAAGTTAATATCTATCTTGTACACACACACACTTTTCCTCTACTGATGAGAGGAAGACAGAGGGGACTAAAGTATTTCTTATTTTTCTACATTGACCTGAATGTATTCTTTATTCTGTGTATTTGTGGACTGAAATAAAAGTTTTTATAAAGTTTGTGATACATTTATTTGCAGTCACTTCATTATACGTTAAATACATTTAATTCAAGCTAAGATACATTAGCTAGTTAGTGCTCTTACCTGTGTGCCTCCTTCAAACAGCATTATAACCAGACTGTATCTTCAAACGATAAGTACCAGTTATAGCTACTTGATTTTAGATAAACAATTGAAAAGACAAAATCAACCAGCTAATGTATTGAAAGACCAATCTTTATTTTAAGGTGCCTTTTCTTTAAACCTTCAGATGTGAGATATTAGTTATGCAGTAATTGTAAGAGAATATTTTAATCTGATCTGTTTATAGAGCTTCTTATAGTTTTTTAGAATCTGTGATACTGCAAACATCTGCTTGTAGTCACTCAAAGACTCCTCTATAAGTTGAGGTCACAGGTCAAACGCTTCTCCTATATCCGTGGGGGAGGTGAGACCTAGCTGCATCTCTTTGAGACAAGGAGATTATTGTCTCGCATTTAATAGCTAATTAGGTATACGCGGGCTTTCTGTGGGCCGGCCTCTCCTCGTGTAGCAGCGATGTTTGTGGCTTTGGGGGCAGAGATAAGCAAGGTGGACCAAGGACAGTGTGAAACTAAGATGATCTCCCGGCCGTATGTAATTAATGTACTGTGATCAATAAACTCTTAGTGCTTTGGCTAATCGACGTTCCAGACTCCTTCATTCTACCTCAACATTGCAACAACAGAAGTTTACCTTCACAGTAATAGTATTGACAATACAAAAATACTGAGCAACTAGTTGAGTTAACTTTATATTTCTTATTGTCTAAAAAGCATTTATTACACTCATTTTCCCCACTCATAATCACAGTGTGTACCAATTGAGACTGTAATTCCCGTCAGGTGTCATCTCTCTAACCGGAGTACTGTTTTGGATGAAGCGGCTCCGGCACAACATTACAACATACATCAGATTCCCCAATAGTAGGTGTAGCAGTACGTACAGCAAGTTGCATTACATAGATTGTTTTGAACCCACCTTCAAAAGCTTTGTGATTATATTACTGGATGGAAACTGAAAGCACGGGAACATTAATAAACTACATAACAGAAAGTATGAATAACAATAATGAAATTGTGACTGTAGATATGTTTATACTTTATATTATTTACTGTAAATGTTTAATTTAGATTTAATTATTGTGATTATTCTTTCTATCTAAATCTCACAATGGGGTAGGTTACAGGAACTTTTCATCAACAGATTACTTTAGTCTGGCTTAACTCTTCACTGATTGGTTGCACACACTTTAAATGTACTGGCTATGCAAAACAGAAGGTGGGGCTCATTATCATATTAAAAAAATGCGCGTTTTATACACGTCAAAAACGCGCGTTTATTTGGTAAAAACGCGCGTTTTTGACGCGTATAAAACGCGCGGTTTTTTACATGTCAAGAACGCGCGAAAAACGCGCGTTTTTTGCGCGTAAAACGCTTTTTAAACGGGCGAATAGTGGCACTTTAGGCTTTCCATAGTTTTACGCCCGAAAAACGCGCGGTTTTTACAAAAACCGCGCGTTCTATTTCATACCTACTGACCGCCAGAGGTGGTGCTTTAGCACTGGATATCTTCTGTCTCGCGCATGCGTAGGTCGAATATTTATATCAACAAAGTCACGTGTGACCTCGTACGACCCGGAAGGCATAAGTTCCGGTGCCGTCGACGAGTTCAGTCCTTTTCATCTTCTCGCAGCGTAGGTTACTACTTTATGAGTAGAAGCCAAGCTAGCTTACTGAACAATTAAGATCCTAGCTCATCGCTATCTGTAGCCTTGTGATCGTTAGATCGGAGCTGCGGGCTAGAAAGACGCTCGCCCTCCAAAGGCTGCGACGAGCTAGCTGTCCGTCCTCCCAAGGGAGGGGACCGCGGTGTTCACCGCTCGGATCTTAGGAGGTCCGGATCGGTAAAGAGCGGACGCTCCTGCACGTCAGCCGGCGCTACCGTTTTTGCTGTTTGTGCTATATATTCTCAAACTAATGAGATAATTGTATACAATTAGCCGAGGGCTCTCGCTAATTGTCACTGCGCAGTTAGCTGAGCGCTTTCGTTCAAGCTAAACTGTTACTACACTAGTGAAAAGAGTGTCTCCGCACCTCTTTTCACTACAAACATTTGGTTACTTACCTGATTCTATCGTCCAGTTAGCTGAGTGCTAGCCGTTCAAGCTAACTGTTACTGCACTAGTGAAGAGAGCGTTTCCGCCCTCTTCTCACTACAAACATTTGATTCTATCGTACCTGATTCTATCGTATCTGATTCTATCGTCCATTTAGCTGAGTGCTAGCCCGTTCAAGCTAACTGTTACTACACTAAGTGAAGAGGGCGTCTCCGCCCTCCTCTCACTACAGACATTTAATTCCTTACCTGTATATCGTCCAGTTAGTTTGAGTGCTCCCGTTCAAGCTAACTGTTACGGCACTAGTGAAAGAGTGTCTTCGCCCTTCCATGGCGCACAATTGGTTCCTGTGCCATCCTCCAGTTAGCCGAGTGCTCTGGCTCATAGCTAACTTACTACAGCGTTAGTGAAGAGAGTGTTTCCGCTCCCCTCTCCTTGCACACAGTTGGTTTCTGTTCCATCCTCCAGTTAGCTGAGTGCTCTCGCTCAAAGCTAACTCGCTACAGCGCTAGTGAAGAGAGTGTTTCCGCTCCCCTCTCCCTGCACACAGTTGTCTTAAGAACCATTCCATCTCCAGTTAGCAGAGTGCTTTCGCTCAGGCTAACTCTCTACGGCGCTAGTGGAGAGAGTATTCCCGCTCTCCTCTCACAGCATACATACCACTAACTGACCACACACTTGTTCGCACCCCAGTTAGCAGAGTGCGTACTGTTAGAGTTTATTGAAGGATAAAAATGTGTTTTCATAATGTATTCTCATTTGCTGTGTTACAAAATGTGTTGATGGAGGAACAAAGCATAGTCTGTTTAAAATGACACACACACACACACACACACACACAGATTCACATGACTGAGAGTCACAAGATTCACACTAAGAAATAAGGCGTTGGTCAAGACCACATGATTGTCTCATGTTACTGTTTGTTGAAATAAAAAGACTGCACTGAGAGAGTTGGTGAGAGTTGGCTCTCCTAGCTGAGAGTTGGTTAAGGAGTGGACATGGCATATGTCACTCGCCGATTCTCCTAGCTGGGAGTTGGTTATGGAGTTGACATGACATGTCACTCGCTGATTCTCCTTGCAGCAAGTAAACTTGAAACATGAGTCCTGTTATCTTTGTTCACTGGGTTTTGGTATATTTGAACCGAGCTGGGGTTTACCCTTACAAAGTAATATAGAGATACCTCACAGTACGCTCACGCTAACTACTTTGTGCTCACTCCCCTCCATTGTGGAGTTTGTTTCCTGGCCAGTTATTTACAGTCAGCTGAGTGCTTCCCCTAAGAGTGGCGCTATGTTTAACGGCTGTAACACCTGTATGGCTTCTCTGCAACCAGAGGATGGCCATGACCTTTGCCCCTCTTGTCTTGGCCTCGAGCATCTGAGGGAGGGCCTTTCGGAGGACTCGTGCATGAATTGTACCATCATGCCTCGTGCGGTAAGAGCTGCTAGACTAGCCAGGGTTGAACTACTGACTGAGGGTGGCCTTCCCCCTGCACAGTCGACTACATCCCAACCTACCCGTCCTAGGCGTCGGGCAGCAGAGGCTGCGGGTGCCCCGCCCAAGAAAAGGACTAAGCCTGATAGGCTGTCCTCTAGGGTGGACCGACTCACTACTGAGGTTGCCCAGATGAAGTCAATCCTCTTGGCTCTCCATTCTGGTGTCC